ACAGAAAACCCCATCAATTTATAGAATGTATTAATATTATCCCAGAGTTAAATCAGCAGTTAGTTATCCCAAAAAACGCCATGGCCAAAACTGTATGAGCTCTTTATCATGAATCATGGTTGAAAAAAAAACTTATCACCCAGCCTTCGTCCTCACCCGCCGCAAACAACAGCACCGTTTTCTGTCATTGGCCAGGTATTTGGTGGCTCATCCCACGAATCGTAAGTGGGTTATAAGCCCAATGATAAGTGGATTAACCTACTTATCTCATTTATAACTGGGGTTATAACCCACTTACTAAGTTGGATGAGCCACCAAGTACAGTAAGGCGGCCCCGTATACCACTTATAGGAGAAGCTGACCAGCAGCTGGCCTGTTTTCATGAGTCGAGCCTCCGGTCACGGAAAAACATGAACGCTAAACAACAAATCTTAGTAACTGTTAATCATTAGTGTATATAATAAGCGATTAGAGTCACCATGAACCGTGAATAGCTATTGGTAAGCCATATCAATCCATATCAACTTAAACTAATCCATACAATGTGGGGCCCCCTAGTTGTAAGTTGGTTTTTAAGCACCTGTAACTATAGTTAAAGGTACCATAAACCATAGTTATTGGAGTTATTAACCAACTTAGCTACCGTTTGGGGGCCCCACTTTGCAAGTGGTTTACTAGTGGACAAGCTTATGTGTTGGTATATTAATGCTTGACTAACATTATATAGCTATATATCTCGGGCACCCAAACCTGATGTTTTTTGGTTTATAAACTCCGTATATACTAAAGTTTAAGTATCACAAAACATCGCGAAATTCACATTATAAACCAACTTAGCTATCTAGGGGGGGCCACATCGTATATAAATGTAAATATATATATATATGTATATATGAGTGTGGGGCACAAACTTGTGGGAAAATGACTGGCCAGACATATTTAATCATGTTTAACAAAATGGATGATTGCACGGCTAGCAGCATTCCCGTCTAAGTGCCTTCCCAAACAGAATCCACTCAACTCTCCTCAGATCACAAATGTTGCCCCAGCGAAAATCCATGTTTTTTTTGCTTAAATCCCAACGTTGCTTCGATGGTTTGATATCCGCAATGTTAATTGATGCTTAACCAAAAACAACTCATCAACCAACCACAATCTTCTGCAGTTGAATTCCTTAACAAAACACGCCATACCCTCTGGTAATTAACATAGCTATTGAACATAGCCATGTATAGTTGCTTTACCCATTGGAAATGGTGATTTTCCGTAGTATATTTTTCAGTTTACCAGAGGCTCAATCCCATTTCATTGTACTAGTTAGTGGAAACCGGTTTCCCTACCATGGATTATCATCATCGCTAGTAGATTCCGTAGTATAACTCCCAGAGTTGTCGCCCAAAATACCAGTTATAAGTCAGTGAAAAAACCCCGCTTATGGAATTATAACTGTATTTGGTGGTTTCCTAAAATGGTGGTACCCCAAAAACATCCATGTTCATCGAACTTTCCATGAAATAAACCATCCAGCTATTGGGGTACCCCATAGTACCCCCCATTTATAGCCATCCAAATAACCACTTAGAACTGGTATTTCCGGCCTTAACTCCCAAGAAATCAACCCAACAGAGGTCCACCCTCCAAACTCACAAAGGGGTCCTCAGAACGATTGAAGAGCACCTGCAGCTAAGGCCCGAAATACCAGTTATAAGTCCTTATAACCCCATTTATAGAATGTATAATTCCATTGAAAAAAACAGTTATAACTAATAAATGGCCATAACTGTAAGAAACCATTGAGATATTTAATCCCATTGAAACCCCATGAAAAATCACCCCCACAGTTATGGCCATTTATTAGTTATAATTGGTTATTTCAATGGGATTATACATTCTATAAATGGGGTTATAAGACTTATAACTGGTATTTCGGGCCTTAACTGTAGTCAATGGGATAGACCCCAAGTGCCAAATGAGGCAATGATGGGGGTAAAACAATGCCATTTTTACCACCCATGACTGAGAACGGTAAACATTCGATCAACTCCTGCCATTTGCCCTGCTTCTGGAAGAGCTCGACGGGATGAACTTATAGGATTGTGCATGGTCGAAGGCACATGGTCCAGGGAACGTTAACATCCCCACCCCACTCCATGCCACCCCACCCCATCCTACCCCATGTAAACTGTGGGGCAAATGGTGGGCGTTGAGTCTAAACATACTACCTATAAAAATGGTGATTTTGGGGACACTAATGAGACAGAAGTATTGAGACACGGCAATCTACATTAATAATCATTATATATATATATTCTTAAAAATATATTCATTGATATGTTTGTCTCAATGACTTATGTAGTATGTTTTTATTGTTGTACCCACATTATGGGAAATGATGGGAAGATATAACAATCCCATCCACCTGTTAAACACCCTCATTGTATGGTCCCAAAAATGTGGTTTCATCCCCTACTAAACCTTACTAAACCATGGTTTCTGCGAGGTGTTTCATATTACGGGGAAAATATAATAGCTATTTGCCTAGGTAAAGTAACTATGATTTATAATACAAATTAATATTGAACTTACTGGGTTTTCAATTGAGTATACCCTCTTGTGTCATCAAACATGGCAAGCTGGAAAATCCTCTATAAATGGTGTTTGAATGGGAATATCATCGAACTAAATGATGGATTTTCCTGCAAATCTTTTTTGACTACTGGAGGGTACATATAGGTATAGTTATACTTTCGACCGTCTAGTCTTTGTCTATGATATAATCTATGTATCTAGGTATTGATGTAGTACGGATGGATGGATGGATGGATGGATGGGTGGGTGGGTGGATGGATGGATGGATGGATGGATGGGTTTATACTATGTGTGTGTTTTCTTGGTTATGTACTATGCATGGGTTTTCAATTGGCGGTTTGAACAAAAAACACATTGTGATATATTGTTACTTATATCATCTACAGGATCATATGTCATAATTAATTTACCCACCAACAACTAAAATTATATATACATATATGTTCGGTATTACACGGTGGATGGAAGAAATCCTGCACCAGTTGATAGGTGGTTTATTCCATTATTTAAAGGGGGTTCAACCATCCAAGGTGGTGCAGGATTTCTTCCATCCGCAGTATGTCTAAATATATACACATATCGGAACGATCTCATGACCAGTGAATCAGTATACCTGCATACCACAAAAAACGCACTCATGTATTGTCTGTTTGAACATGTTTTGATTAGAGTTCCCTTGTGTGTGCGAAAGAACGACAACATGTCGCGTTTTTTTTCATTCATTACCGCGCGGGTTTTCGCTCAGTCACTCTGGGACTAGGCACAAAATTCCATCGGCGTGACGCTAGTTGGCCCTGATGGACTGCTTCCCACGAGGGACAAAATCGTGACGCTGCAGCATTTTTTCCGTGCAGGCCCTGGTCTTCAATGCGAGTTTGCCACCATCAAGTGGGCCTCTCTAAAAAATCGGATACCCCAGATTGTCATGGTTTATCGGTTTATCATTGTATTATATATATATATATGATATGCTACTGGAAACTATCAGCCCCAGGTCAGTCTTCCGACAACTACAGTTATTGCCATGGCTATTAGTGAACTAACTGGTTATTTCTATGGGATAAAAAACATTCTATAAATGGTGTTTTCTTAGTACTTATAACTGGTACAACTCGGGCCTCAACTGTAAGACCCAGGTCAGCCCCGGATGTTGTCATTTTACCCTCCGATCACCAAGCATGGCTAAGCATGGCAGTTGGAAATCAACGGAGATAAAAAAAAAAAAACCATCGAACTGCGGGAGAACTTCCAACAAGCCATGTTTGATTGCCGGAGGGTACAAGGTGGTGCCCCAGTTCGTTAGCTAAGTTGGTAAACATAACTCCAATTTCACTATGGCTTATGGCAGATATAACTATATTTAATGGGGGTTATAAAGCAACTTATAACTGGGGGGCACCATCCTGTACCCTCTGGTTAACATAGCGAACTGGACACCATCTTAGTATATATGTAAATCATGGTGAATCGGCTAAAAAATTGTCCATTCTCCACAGGTATGTTACTACTTATGTTAGTTTGGCCATTTCTTTAAAACAAAAAAGCAGCCCCACACGTGCCACGTACGGGTCAATGTCCAAACTATAAATTGGAGGGGTACTCCGGGGGGGAAAGCTCCACTAATAAATGTGCTATATATATATGGTTCTATTTATTATAACATGTTAAATAAAACATCTTATAAGATATTATAACAAATTAATGATACCATATTATAACATATTGTAATATTATAATATAACCATACTTGTAGGGATTCTATCCTACCTTCTGGAGGTCAAAATCCCATAGTTATAGCCATAACTGTGCCCCAAAATGTGTCCCAAAGTGCTGTTCTATAGACCTTCCAAGCTATGAACCTATCGAGTATGACAGAGGTATTTGCAGTCAAACTCACTATGTGTCAAGGTCGCACAGATTGCTGAGATTTTAAAGTCTAATCCAAATCACGCTGTGATTCCCTTGGCCACTTCGGACCCAGAAATTTCATGGCATGATGGCATGACGGGCTTCGGACTTTGGTCCGAGAATAAACAAAATTGGCAACACCCTGAATATTTTCAGCTGACCAAGGAGAATCGACATATGTTTTTTTTAGTGGATGAATGCCTTGCTAGCCCCCACACACCAGTTTTGTCATGACGTAGTGTCACCTCGTTCAAGCCGCAACCGAACAGCGCGTACGTGATGTTCCCTCGATTTCACAAGGGACATCAAAAATATTAAATAAGACATCTGCTAGGGAGCTCCCACCGTGGCGGTGCTGAGACACCACAAAACACGTCTCAAAATTGGTGCAGGATTGAGTTTGTTTGCCGCAACCCAATGGCAGTTAGCCTCCGGGAAACTAACGTAGCGAACTGGTAAATCACCATCTTAATAGGTAAATTATCCAAACATATGCTGTTTTCCACAGCTATATTAGTTTGCCAGAGGGTAACTATCTTGAGTTGTGTGTCACCGCTGCTCATTGCATCATCGACCTTGAACCGACCCAGTGTGCTGTTTTTTTTTTTGCGGGAGACCTAAACTTAATCTTCTCAAAAAAACAACAGTTGCAGTTACGGCCCTTAACAGTTGCGAATGGGATTATAATGATCTATAACCCTAGTTATAGGAGTTATATGTCCATTTATAACTGTTCATGGCCAAAACTGTGGGTATCAGATACATTTCCCAAAACAATCGGATGCAACCAAAACAAACAATCATACAGCCCAGAAACATGAGAAACTATGGTTTTAGAAAAAAACGATAAACATATTTCAGACTATACAAGGGGGGTGATTAATTTTAAGGGGGATAGGGATGTTCCAATAAAAACACTTCAAGGTATATTTGATCATTCACCAATATATTTGTGTTGATAGTTGTTGGTTAAGTCCCATCATTTTCCAATATTATTCAACATTACAATCAATCATGTAACATATGTTCTTCGATTATGCATGACATGGGAACCATATTCACAATTATTATGGTGTTTGAACATATGTGTCCCATCATTATTCTCCAATTTTTAAAATCACAAAAATATTCATTGATTTTTTGCTTTACATCTCCATTAAACTACCCGTGTGCCCCCGCCAAGATTATCAGTTTATGTAACATAGCGTGTGCTTATACCTATATGTATAATGTATATATACATATATATTTGTAAAATGTGTACGCATGTAACCACAATTTTAAGAACACACATAACGGATATATATATATATATATATATATCCATAGTTGTAGTGGTGTTATCCCAACCTATGGGTGCTGTTTCACTATGGACATCCCACCACAATGGAGGCTTTATTGAGAAAATCGTCTAAAACTGTAAGTTTTTTGTAGATGCCCCAATAGAAACTCCAGGGTTTTGCTGAAAAACAAATCCGATGACATTATGACATCCCATTTAATACTCCCATAAAATCTGGGTAAACTATAATATTTCACTAACCTGAATTAAGGCTATCTTGGAGGAAACCCGATGAAAATCACCATATTTCTCTTGGGATCTCCATGAGAACCATTGGATAAAAGCCTAACCGCTTTCCCCAACCGCTTTCTCCAACATTTTCGCCTATTCCCAAAAAGCAAGTTAGTATCACAACCAAATAATACCCCATCAGCCATCATGTATCAGGTATATTTTCGATCTTTGATGGTTAAACAGTCAAACCAAGTAAACCACTATAGTGTGGTGAAATATGGTTAAGTCCTATTAAAGTTCAATCAACCAGGCTACTTGTAATGGCTCAATCATCTAAACAATGTACCCTCTGGTCGACTAACATAGCTATTGAAAATGGCCATAGAAATAATTAGTGGATTTAACCATGAAAAATTGTGATTTTCCATAGTTTTTTGTTAGTTTACCAGAGGGTAGGTTTGGAAAATCATCTATATCACCTCCATATGTATTTGATTTTCCCAATAAAACCTCCCTGGTTTTCCCCGGAACAGCGCAGCAGTAGATGTTCCTGTTGGTTCTGACTATTCCCGTTACAATGACCAGAATGAACTAATGCATTCCATTATATACAGTTAAGGCCGTTTACTAGTCATTTATCGTTACAATAGCTGATTATAAATTGCTATAAATAGGGTTATAATTCCATAAATGGTGTGATTTCATTGAATTGTAACTGATAAAGGGCCTTGCCTGTAGGTTATACTTCCCAATTGATCCGAATAAATCACTTCCATAATTCCTCAGTTCATATGCATAATCAATGGAAATTCACGAACTTTCGTAAATATCCTTTCAATGAAAATTCACGAATTTTCGTAAATATCCTATGAAATAGGAAATGACTTCCCATTCAATCATAATGTTTTTCAAGTTTTCCATGCCGGTTTCCCAACAGTTATGGCCATTAAAACGGTTATAAATGGATTGAAACAACTCCTATAACTAGTTGGTTATACATCATTATTTCACCCCATCAACATCAGTGTTAGTTGGGCCATAACTGTACATTCTGGTAAATTAACAGTTTGATACCCTCTGGTAAATTAACATAGACCCCATGATTAGGGGTGATTAATGGTGATTTAATGATGATTAATGGGATATACAGTATACTGTACATAATTTATTTCATCCCATCAAAAAACAAGTTATAAGTATATAAGTCACCCCATTTGCCATTTGTGAAATAATAACCACATTTACAACCCCATTTGGTGATTTCCATAATGGGGGTGCCCCGAAATGGATGGTTTAGAATGGAAAATCCCAATCTAAAATGGATGATTTCGGGGCACCCCTATTTTAGGAAACACCCATTTACATCCATCTGGGTAAATTATAATATTTCACCAACCTGAAATAAGGCCATTTGGGGATGATTCCCCGAATCCTAACCATGATTATAGTGAGGGAGAACAGTGAGGTCGTTGTAATTTACCCAGATCCATTTACAACCATCAAAATAATTGTTACCCTCTGGTAAACTAACATAGCAATGGGAAATCACCATTTTTAATGGGAAAACAGACTATAAATGGGCCATTTTCAATAGCTACGTTAAATTACCAGAGGGTAGTTGGGCCACAACTGAACGTTTTTTCCGGTCGCCTCAGTAGTCGTCCTCCTCCATGATCTCCGCCGCCAGCTCAGCCGCCGCCTCGCCGCCGCCGGCGCAGACGTCGAAGATGCAGTCCGTGAAGCTGTCCTAAACGGCGCTTAAACGGCCGTTACGGATGGCCGGAAAAGGACGTTGCGGATGGAGGGATCATGGGATCTATAGTGTTATATCATGTATCATATATGGTGTATATATATATATGAAACGCGATTTAATAATAAAATATATCCAATGTATAAATTATATAATGATTAATATGACGTATTATATAAATATATAACGTATGTGAATATAATCATACAGCATTAAGACATGCCAAAAGCTATGTCATGTTTAAATGATGTATAACATATAAAATAAAACGTATGAAATACCCAATATAATATACAATATATAATAAACAATACAGGGTCAATAAAATTTTGAGGATGTTTGTTTCTCCATTTAGGGTTTGTTTTTCTTTAGTTCCTGTTCTGTCCGTTTTCCTTGCTATTTGCAGAAACATTTTGGAGCTGGAAGCTGCTATTTCAAGGGTATTTGCACAATTTTGAATTCGAACCTCTCATTTCCTGTCGCATTTGCAGCAGTTTGGTGCTCGAACTCTTCATGTTGCATTCTATTTTGCAACTGGAGTTCTTTCAGGGTCGGCTTTAGATATATATATATATAAATATGTTTATATATTCATTTATCTATTTATTTATTTGGTGTTTATTTGGGGCAGACTTGTTCAGGGTTTGCTTAGGGTTTCTTTAGTTTTGTTTGAGGATTGGTCTGGGGTTGATTTAGGGCTTATTTGTATGATTTTGTATGATTTTCCTTATGGTTTATTTAGGTTTGAGAAGCAAAAAAACAGGGAACAGCAGAGAAGCGGAGAAGCAAAGAAGCAAGTAAGCAGGAAAACAAAGAAGCAAAGAAGCAGCGAAAAGCAGAAAAACAGAACGCAGAGAAGCGGACAATTACAAAAGCAGAAAAAGCAAATAAGAAGGGAAAAGCAGAAAAGTCGGGAAGTAGGAAACATAAATCAAAAGCAAATCAAAAACAGAAAACACATGCCCAAACATATCACCCCTATATAATTATATATAGTGTATATGTTCGTTATACAAATATTTTATGAGTAGTTAAATAAATAATATATATATATATATATACCTTTTTGCTTTTCTTCATATTTAATAGTATCTATCTGCTTTTCTACGTGTTTTCTACAGTGTGTTTCTTTACATATGTACAATGTCTCTCTCTATGATTCTTTATGTATACATATTGGGATTTACAAGGAGAAGAGGAACCCTCAGGTTTGAACATCCGCTGAAGAAGTGAGGGTGTAAGTGATCATTACTTCTGGTAGAACTACAGTACAACATGTCATGGGCCATGGGTGCACATTAAAATGTAATAAAATTTACAAATACACGTGTATATGTATGGCATACATGGGCATGGAGATATACTAAATTGGTATGGTGAATACTTCATGTGATATTATCCTGTATCTGAGTAACATACCCGTTTATGGTAAAGCAACACATTCCATGATCAAATTACCCCTTTAAGGTTGTTTTATATCAACCGTATATGAACTTTTTTTATCAAGGCAGTTGATATCCTAAATGATGCGGCTCGACTACAATTAAGGCCCTTTACCAGTTATAAGTACTAACAAAATCCCATTTATAGAATGTATAATCCATAGAAATAACCAGTTATAACTAATAAATGGCCATAACTGTACCTATCCAGCTTCCGGACAACAACTCTTGCCAAGCGTCTCGTAGATGACCGGTGGCGTTGATGATGCTTTCGCCTAATCATCCAGTGGAAAAGAGGCGCGTCTCTGCGGGGTTTTCGGTGGTAGACGCTCAGGCATACCATAGATCTTCACTTCAACATCAGAAAAAAAAACTCTGGTTATTTAACATAGCCATGGAAGCCATGGCCCATAGAAATAGATGGTTTACCGAACTTAAAAATGGGTGGATCTTTCCAGTTCGCTATGTTAGTCATAACCAGATGGTATATACACACATTGGCACGTAATTCCATGGATCCCCCAACAAAATCGATCAAATCGATGAATCAAAGTTGAATCTTCTTCAACTGCTATGGTGCTTCTTAAAGAACTGGTTGGTGGTATACCTACCCTTCGTTTTGTCTATGAACAGTTGGGATTTTTTCCATCGTTTTTTGTATGTTTACCAGAGGGTAATAGCCATCGATGATCACCTGGTTGGTGGTATACCTGCCCCTCTCAAAAATATAAAAGTCAGTTGGGATTACTATTCCCAATGTATGGAAAATAAAAGCCATGTTCCAAACCACCAACCAGAACAATATACCCAAAAACCTGCACTGTTTACCACGGAAACTTGGGGATTAATTTTATTATTAAAGACTTTCACTGCGAAATTAATAATAATATATAATTTACTAAAATAATTGTTGGTAAAATAAACTTCCGTTGCAAAAACGAACATGTATTTCATGTTCTCATGGTTCAAACCAAGGAGCTGGTCAGAATGATCCATAAAGGCCGTTCGGCCATGTATCTTGCCCCAGAGAAGCGGCCTCTTGCGTCAGACATAAAACGCAAGGAATGTAACACCATGGAAACCACGTAGTTGACGCAGATCGACAGAGATGGGAAAGAAACGTCACTCTCCACGAAAGCCTTTCTCACATCTCTGTCATACACAAGGTTTTCTCAGCTTGCAGGAGTCAATAGGACAATGACTCGGCGGACTCCACAGTCTGCAGAGTTGCTGATGAAATTTGCCCTGACACCATGGATTTTCCAGGCACTACAGTTATGGCCATTTATTAGTTATAACCAAGGTTATATTTCAGTTGGATTCAGTTGGAATATACATTCTATAAATGGGGTTTTGTTAGTACTGATAACTGGTAAGGGGCCTTGGCCGTATTTAGATTCCCATTGGTTTATATCCCCATTCAATTACATGTATGGCCCTTTGTAGACCAGTTTTTTGAGCCAGTGAAAAAACACCATTTCTGGAATTATAGCCATACTTTTAGCATTGTTTATACCTCTATTTATAGCCATACAAATAATCATTTATACCTGGTATTTCCGGCCTTGGCTGTAACCCGTCCAGTTGGAAAGTATGCCTCAATCATTCCCATGATATGCGAAAGCACATGGTAGCCATCCAGCCTTAAGTATGTTGAATGTCCATAAAATCTAAAAAACATACTTATATCTTATATCTAAAAATCTTCACACCCAAATATCATATATATATATATATATCCTAGAAAATAGTCCCATAGCAATCCAAACATCTTCCCATAGCAATCCCATCCTCCTCATATTCATATAAATGGTCCCACAGTTAAGGCCCTTTACTAGTTTCAGATGGTTATCAAGGTAATAAATTTAAATGTTATTATTTTTCCATAAATGGTATTGTAACTGAGTTATAAGTTATATAAAGGTCTAAAACTGCAATTATATGTGATTGCATCCCCTACCTCCACTGAAATTCCAAACAACATCCCCAAATATTGCCATACAAATCCCAACAATCTTCCGACATATTCCCCAACAAATTGATTCCCCATTTCTGATTTTCCATTTGGAAAACAACTAACCATCGAGTCAAATCCTGATCTCGCTAAATCGAAATAATATGATCCATCCCATTGTGTCATAGTTATGCCCATTAACGACGTTATTATCATTAACATCAATCCCAAAAAAAACATAAAGTCCATTTAAAATCGATGAGCAATCCATTGTTCGATATGATTTTCCAGGTTTTTCTTTCCCACGAGAACCTGCATCATTTTTCAGGGAATATGATTACCGATTGCTAAGTACACAAAAAATAACATATGTATATATATATATATATATCATAAATCCAAAAAACTACAAAGTGAAAGCCCCAAAGATAGCAGAGTTGGTGAACATAATTCCAATAACTATTATTTATGGTACTTATAAAGAACTAGTTGCTGTTTGCTGGGTTTTGTATATAGACCAACGTTCACATCATTGGTTTTCCCCACATTGTAGTTCAGCGCATGAAGCGGTATTTAGTTTTTTAGCCTCAACTCTAAAATTCACCGCGGCTGCACAACGGTTTACGATGTCTACAGTCTACAGTTATAGCCCAAAATGCCAGTTATAAGTCAGTGAAATAACTTTATTTATAGAACTTACCAGTAGTACCGCGCAAGGCGGTGGCGGAAGTTTCAAAAATAGGAAACCTATAGGAGAGATTGGTTGTTGTGAATCACGGATGGCAGAGCGAATCCACTGATGGACCGAAAGGGGGTTGGAGCTGTGTTTTTTGGAGTGGCTGCAATGGTTGCAGTGGTCACCTGGTCGGTCACCTCACCCACAACTGCTGGATGTAGTGTGGTGTAGTGCAGCTGTGGTTGTACTAGTAGTGTAGTGGAGTTGTAGCTGTGATGTAGTGCAATTAGTGTAGTGTAGTTGCAGTTGCATGTGTGGTGGTGTAATGATTGTATTGTAATGTAATATAATGTGATGCAATGTGGGGTAGTGTAGTGTAGTGTAGTGTAATGCAGTTAGTGTAGTTGTAGTTGTAGTTGCAATTGTAGTTGTAGTTGTAGTGTGGTTGTAGTGATAATTAATATATTGTAGTTGTAGTGTTATTGAATGTATTGTAGTTGTAGTTGTAGTTGTAGTTGTAGTTAGTGTAGTGCAGTGCAGTGTAGTGCAGTGCAGTGTAGTGTAGTGTAGTGTATGGAGTAGTGTAGTGTAGTGTCGTGTTGTGTTGTGTTGCGTTGTGTCGTGTCGTGTCGTGTTGTGTTGTGTTGTGTTGTGTCGCGTGGTGTAGTGTAGTGTAGTGTGATTGAGTGTAGTGTACTGTATTGGAGTGGAGTGTAGTGTAGGGAGGTGTAGTGTAATGTAGTGGAGTGGGGTGTAGTGTAGTCCAGTGCAGCGTAGTTTAATGTAATTAGTGTAGTGTAGTGTAGTGTAGTCTAGTGTAGTGTAGTGTAGTGTAGTGTGCAGTGCAGTGCAGTGCAGTGCAGTGCAGTGTAGTGTAGTGTAGTGTCGCGTGGTGTAGTGTAGTGTAGTGTAGTGTAGTGTAGTGTAGTGTAGTGTAGTGTAGTGTAGTGTAGTGTAGTGTAGTGTAGTGTAGTGTAGTGTAGTGTAGTGTAGTGTGATTGAGTGTAGTGTGATTGAGTGTAGTGTACTGTATTGGTGTGGAGTGTAGTGTAGTGAGGTGAAGTGTAGTGTAGTGTAGTGGAGTGGTGTGTAGTGTAGTGCAGTGTAGTGTAGTGTAATGTAGTGTAGTGGAATGTAGTGTAGTGTAGTGGAGTGGAGTGGAGAGGAGTGTAGTGGAGTGTAGTGTAGGTAGTGGAATGTAGTGAAGGTGTAGTTTGTAGTTGTAGTGTAGTGTATTGGAATGTAGTGTGGTGTAGTGGTGGTTGTAGTTGAAAATGCCACAAAACCCAAACTGTTTTGCTCACTTTTGACAAGGTGCGCAATCCCTTGCGCTTGCCACGCGAAACGACATCTGAACGTCCAAAAGTGGTCCGATCCCCTGGTGTTTTTCACATTTTGACTTCGAGATGTGCTTCGCGCCTCAACGGCGTGCACTTTTTTGACATTTCAACTTCCAAAAGTGGTCCGACCATGGTGTGTTTTGCACATTTTGACTTCAAAATGTGCTTCGCGCCACAACGGCGTGCACTTTTTCGACATCACAACTTCCAAAAGTGGTCCGACCATGGTGTGTTTTGCACATTTTGACTTCAAAATGTGCTTCGCGCCACAACGGCGTGCACTTTTTCGACATCTGAACTTCCAAAAGTGGTCCGACACTGAGGTGTTTTGAACATTTTGACTTGCAAATGTGCTTCGCGCCACAACGGCGTGCACTTTTTCGACATCTGAACTTCCAAAAGTGGTCCGACACTGAGGTGTTTTTAGCTTTTTCACTTGCAAATGTGCTTCGCGCCACAACAGTTTGCAATTTTTCATCTTTCACCTGGCCAGCTTTAGCGAGCCTACTTTTCGACCCTCCAGAGCCACAAATCATTGGAAAACACACTTTTTCGCGACTTTCCTACCTTTTCGCGCACCTGGATCTTCTTTCTTCTGAGACTTTCTCTTTTGTGATCTTCTTTCTTCTTCTCTTCTCTTCTTGACTCTTCGCATCTCTGCTTTTCAATGCTTTTCATTTGTCCATATTGTCGGAAGTTTGACTTCTAAACTTCCTTCGATAAGCCTATAGAAATAACCATACCAAAAAGACACATCAAACAGGTTAAGTTCCTCTGGTTATCAACGCCTTATATGACATGTTTGCTAAACCATGAAAGAAAAACCATAAACATCAACTTTGTCAGTTAAACCTTAGGTAACTATATTATTTTTATAAATTATATCCGTCTGATATGATTACAAACCATTAAAAACATATAAAAACATCAACCCGTTTAGTAAAAATAACACTAATCATGGTATGAAAATAAGCAGTTGTAATAACCATAGACATGTATTATAAACCATTATAACACATTATAACCATAGACATAATAGTCATTATTATAACCCATTAACAACCATTATAAACCATTAAAAAAGTTGGTTTATAATCCCATTAACTATAGATATATCTACCATAAGTCCTAGTTATTAGATATGTTCACCAACTTAGCTATCTTGGGGGCACCACATTGTAATAATCATTATAATAAGTGAAAATAAGTGGTCTTTCCCGCCTTTTTCTTGGATCCGATTCCGCTGAGTTGCCCATCCATTTCATGCAGGTCTTCTTCGCGACATCCTCAGCCTGTTCGGAACAGGTCGTCACCAACGAGCGCTCGCCCTGAAAGGCCGAGATTTTTCACAAGGGAGGTTCATGCATTCTACAGTTTTGACTCATGACCATTAGCTATAAATCATTCTACACACATAGAATGGTTATTTCAATTGGAAAAATAGAATGGTTAGAGCTATAGTTTATTAGTGATAGAATGGTTACTTCTTTGGGAGTATACATTCTATAAATGGGGTTTTGTTAGTAAAGGACCGTCACTGTACCGGATTTAAGACACATTTAAGATGATAAAAACAGTGTTCGTAACGGATGATATATGATGATCTGATGTTATTTTGGGAATATCATGGTGAGGCAACTTGAATAGCAATAACATGATTTGGTTCTGTCGGCAAAATGATGAATCTACGCGCAAGTTCTCGCAATTTTCATTGGGAAACTGGTCCCAACTTTAGGGATGCCTACAGTTATGGCCATTTATCAGTTATAACTGGTTATTTCTATGGGATTATACATTCTATAAATGGGGTTTTCTTAGTACTTATAACTTGTATTTCGGGCCTTAACTGTACCCCTTTTTTCCCAAAAGATCAGGAAATCACAAGGTGAGGTCCCAGTTTTCGACATCGCGACAGGTTGACACACATAGCTTGGAGAATTCTATGGTTCATGGGGGGTACAACGATACTTGGTGGCGAACTACCCTCGAATCGTAAGTGGCCTATAAGCCCATTTATAATATCAGTAGGGTTCATCCACTTTTAACTGGAGTTATATAAATATAAGCCACTTACGAGCCGTGGGATGAGCCATCAAGTAGTATTTGTAGGGGTATATAAACCAACTGATAGCGAGGGAACCTCACCTTGTAGGAACATACTCCCATACCGCAAATATGAAATACTACCAGCTGGAAACCCTGGTTTACTCTTGGACCTATAAATTTGTCGGGTGCCATATATTGGGAGCTATTCAGTATCAATATTACATATCGGCTATATATGGCTATCTCTCCCACTCTCAAGATATATGAACCATACTACCCCCCCCCCATTTTTTGCGGTCGTTATCCCGTCTGTTTTTGTCAAAGAAAATCAGAATAGTGTCCCATGGAATTTTCAATCTCTGACTCAAAAACCACTTACATTCCATAGAAGCAACCTCTGGCCGAACCCCCCCAAGTAGGCAACATATCCCAGTAGAATCCCATTTATCCTATGAAAACACCATGGAAATCAAGTTTTTTTTTCTTGGGAGATCCATGGCTATCCACATTGCTAGGTCCTTGGAATCTCTTCAGCATTGGATCAGCATGAAAAAATACCAATTTTTCACCACCAGATTCCCATCTGGAACATTATCCAGATCCCATGAAGATGAGAAGGCCGTTATAAATGACTGGTTGGTGGTATACCTACCCCTCTGAAAAATATGAGTTCGTCACTTAGGATTACTATTCCCAGCTGAATGGAATAATAAAATTCATGTTCCAAACCACCAACTAGATGATTATTTGTATGGCTATGTCTATAGGCTTACAATTCATAAAGGGGGTGATTTCACTGACTTATAACTGGTATACAAAGGGCCAGAACTATAGTTGTATCTTCCATAGAACATCGAATTCACCAAGCTATGTATATCAACCTGTCGCAATTTATACCATAACTGGGACCACGAGTGAGTTTAACTTGTGTTTCTGGCCTTGACTGTAGTTTCCCATTGGTTATTTAACATATGGACTTAAATTCCATCAAATTCCAGTATAATCCCATGATTTCTATTCCATTCGCATCATTTAACTGTACCAAACCCCCAAAAACAGACGGTGGAAGCCAAGAAGCTGTGACTTGCTCGTCCACCTCTGAGAGGTACAAGGAGGCTTGGTTGCTCCCACCTGGACTTGGCCATGGGGCATGCGCGACAGGCGCGACATGTAGGGGTGCATACGTATGACGGATGCTGGTTGGTGGTTGAGCCCTACCCCTCTGAAAAATATGAAAGTCAGTTGGGATGATTATTCCCAACTGAATGGAAAAATAAAAAATGTTCCAAACCACCAACCAGAATGTATATGTATGCAGCATACATATAATGCATCTGCATTTTCTTCTTCTGTTCGTGCTCCTGGCAAATCTCCTGCAGGGACTTTGGCGCCGGCCATTCCCTCGCCGTTCTCGCGGTTATCATAAGCAGGCTGAAAGGACTCAAGGCATCTCAAGGCTATCTCCTCGATTGCAGCCTAAACTAACCTAACATAGCTATTGAAAATGACCCAGTTATAGTTGATTTACCTAGTAAAGATGGTGAATTTCCAGTTCGCTATGTGGCTGTTTACCAGAGGGTATCACTATATAATAGTTTTCCTCCACTTGTGGCTAAACAAGTTCACCCATTCACCAAACATTCATCGATTCACCAGTCGGGGAAAATGAAAAATGGTCTCAGCAGATGGGACAGCACCAGCATTGCAGGGGCATGGTTCTAACTTATCTGGGGGGTTCCATAAATGGGGGTACCCCATTTATATTCACTTATGGATGGTTTACAAGGGAAAGTGCTATGGAAATTCACCATCTTTAAGTTCGGCAAATCAACTATCAATGGGCCATTTTCAATAGCTATTTTGACATAACCAGATGGTAAATGCATGATTTATAGGGGTACCCCCATTTATGAAACCCCCCCATGTTGTAACTCCCGATTTTCCAGGTCGGCAGGTTGGGAGCATCCGAAAAAATCTCTGGGATGGTCTCCCCGAAAAACTACCCCAACGCGTTTGAATTACCCACTAACCTACAAAAAACTACGGAAACTCAGCATTTTTCATGGGAAAATTCACTACAAATGTTGATTTTCCATAGTTATGTTAGTTTACCAGAGGGTAACATCTTTTGTTTCAGGATATTTTGGTTGTTGGTGTCATCAGCCAAAAAAAATGATATCCCAATGATACCCCATAGTTGGTATGTCTGCTGTGCTGATAAGGACATCCCAATAATGATATCTCCAACAATGATATCAAAATAATGATATCGCATAGTTGGTATCCTCATCCCTGAATATTCCCCAAAGAGTTCGCAGATCGGTCCAATTCTCTTCAGCTTTTCGGTCATACTGCGTGCTGCCCTGCTCGGTTATGAATCTGGGCCTGGGAATAACTCAACTTAGCCCATCTATAGCCAGGCCTATAACCTGTGCGTAGAGATAGGCGTACTACAGCTACAAGGTGGTGCCCCTCTAGCTATAAGTTGGTTTATGATCCCATTAACTATAGATATATCTACCATAAGTCCTAGTTATTAGAGTTATGAACCAACTTCGCTATCTTGGGGGCACCACATTGTAATGGGCTATGGTAAATGGCCTGTGGTTCGCCTGGTAAATTCGGGTCAATGTGAGCCATCTACCGCATTGAAAACCATACGAGGATCACGTTACAGCTATGGCCCTTTGTATACCAGTTTTTTGAGTCAGTGACATCACCCCATTTCTGGCATTATCACCATATTGATAAAGCATTTCTTTCATAAACATAACTTGTATTTCCGGCTGAAACATGTACATGGTAGTCATGGTATCCAAGGTTTATGGTCATCCATCCCAGCGCCGAAATATGCCGAAATTCTCATCAGTTCTCATCCCCCCGAGGACTAGGAAACTAAGCCTAGTCGTCTTGACCATGACAATCAAATTTCACACAGTTTTGTTGGGATGAAAAATTCCAACTTATGGAGGTTAACATATTAGTTAACATCCCATGGTTATATCGATTAAATTAATTAACAGCCCTTGGCCTGCACCCCGGTGTAATCGGTTATCCAATAGAATTTACTTCCATCATATCCACCGACCAAATATCCACCTTACCACTTTGGTAGGTCCTTGGAATCTCTTCTAGATACAAAATGCAACCCCCAAACAATAGCTGGTTGGTGGTTTCAACCCATCTTGAAAAATATTAGTCAATTGTCAGTTGTGAAGGATTATTCCATATATTATGGAAAAAATAAAAATGTTCCAAACCACCAACAAGATAGCGAAGTTGGGGGCCAAATAACCCATATTTCAACATGGTTTATGGTATTGATAACGAACTAGTTCTTTTTTAAGGCCAACAAACATAACTAAAAAGGGCCCCACTTTGATAGATATGGCTTATTCCCACAGCTATGACCCGAAATACTAGTTATATGTCGGTGAAATAACTCCATTCATGGAATAGTATCTCCATATAACCATTTACATCTATAACAATTCAATTTATAACTGGTAGACGGCCTTATCCTTGGTTCCATGGATCATTTTCGTGGCTCGGCCAGGCTTTGAGTTTCACCCGCTGATCGCTGCACAAGTCACCCACATTCACCCAGCTGTCATCGACAAAGAACTCCTCGAGTTTGACAGCAGATGTTGACCACACGCCAAATATCATGCAGTTGTGGCCCGAAATACCAGTTGTAAGTCAGTGAAATCACCCTATTTATGGAACAATAACTTTATAGAAATAGCAGTTCATAATCATTTATAACTGGTATTTCCGGCATTGACTGTGGGAACAATGAGACTTTCATGGGATTTACCCTGGAGTTTTCAAACATGGCGATGGGAGATATACCATTTATAGATCATTTCCCACTAAATCACAAAACCTCCATTTATAGGCCAGGATCCAGCCAGACACGTTTGATAGCCGAAGGGTAACCAGCCAAAATTGGGATTTAACCCATGAATAATGGATTTGGCCAAATATATGGGTGAGTGGAGCAAGTTTGTATATATTATATTATATATATAAACATATCATTGAATTAAATTGCGGGGATAAGCGCAACCAACATGGAAGGTTTGAGTACTACACACGGACCGACAAATGGTGAAATGTGGGGATACACAAAGCATGACGGTGAAAAAGTGGGACGAACCAATACGATATATATATATGTATATAATAAGGTATATACATGAATATGACGGTTTGTCAAAATGTCTGTTCCCGGTTTTGTTGATAAATCGCAATTCCATGCGTGCCGCCTCATGTTTGCCTTTAAAAAAATGACCTACCTTGATGACGTTAAAACGTGGAAATTCTTCGTTACCTTTGGAAATCTTTCTAAAACCACAGGAATCGGCTAACGCACGTCGTTTTTCATTCGCTGTCGCTGGTACTATCTCCTGAACTGTGTGTCTCTGTGTGTGTGCCTCTCTGAATGCAATATGCTTCTTGACATGCCTCCTGATCAACGCTGTTTCCTCACTGTAAGCTACCAAAGCGTGAACATGGCTGTGCCTCTGAATGGGCTGCGGGTGGACCGGGGCATGTATTTGCAATTTTCGCTAGCGCGTTGCTAGCGGCGATCTAGCGCGTAAAATACGTTTAAACAATCGAAAATTTGGGAATATGTGAAAACTGACAGACTTGTAAGAAAAGCTGGCAAGACATTCACGACATGGAGGCCATGGCTGTCAATCAAACCTAGCGCAAACCTAGCGGGTTTGCTAGCGCTGCCTTGCGGAATTGCTGAATTTAGTTGCGTGCCGCCTCATAACGAAGAGGAAGAAACAGTAGACCCAGATGAATTATCAACAACCAATACTAAACTTCTAAACAACTATTTTTGACAAATGATCATATACAAAAACAATACGATATACATGTGTCTGAAAATTTTCGAACATGTGGATTGCCAACAGTTATGGTCATATGAATGTGTGTTACAGTGGAAATTAGTGGACATGATGATGCCCAAAGACATTCTTGACGATTGAAATCCAATGTTACATTTGAAACAAACCCATCTGAACAGCCATCTTGGAGTGCAACTATAACAGACACCTTGACCAATTCCCATCAGTACAAGCTGGTTATCAAAGTGTACTCATGACTTCTATCTTTCACACATGTTCATAAAAAAAACCTATACTCCTAGATACCTGGCAAAAACCAGACGTATTTCTGTATATATATATATATATTGTTTTTTCCTTCGGCCTTTTGTGACTGTCGTCGCGGCTCTAGCAAAGGGATGAATTCTCCTACGCGGAATCTATCCTGCGTAATCCTTGCCATAATGATCGATAAAATGAGTATAGATATATATATATATATACTGGTTGGTGGTTTCAACCCCTCTGAAAAATATGAAAGCCAATGGGAAGGAAACCATCCCATATATGAAATGGAACATAAAAGCCATGTTTGAAACCACCAACCAGTGTAGATATATATACATATATATACTGTATATTGATATATGATAGTTATAGTCAGTTATAGTTACATCTACCAGTAGTACCGCACAAGGCGGTGGCGGAAGTTTCAAAAATAGGAAACCTATAGGAGAGCTTGGTTGTTGTGAATCCGGGATGGCAGAGCGAATCCACTGATGGACCGAAAGGTGCTTGAGGTCCCCTCTCTTTCTCTCTCTTTCTCTGACTATCTATCTATCTATCTATCTATCTATCTATCTATCCATCTATCTATCCATCGATCTATCTATCTATCTCTCAATCTGTCTAGCCATCTATCTATCTATCTTTCCATCTATCTATCTATCCATCTTTCTATCTATCTATCTATCTCTCTCTCTCTCTCTCTCTCTCTCTCTCTCTCCTTCCCTTTCATCTGTCTATCTGTCTACCTGTCTATCTGTCTATCTGTCTTTCTATCTACCTATCTATCTATCAATCTATCTAGACATCTATCTATCCATCTATCTATCTATCTATCTATCTGTCTTTCTATCTCTCTATCTCTCCATCTATCTATCGCTCAAAACTGTCTCTCTATCTATCTGTCTATCTATCTGTCTAGGTACCTATCTATCTATCTATCTATCTATCTATCTATCTATCGATCTTTTTATTCATCCATCTACCTATCTATCTATCTATCTACCTATCTATCTATCTATCTACCTATCTATCTATCTATCTATCTGTCTATCTAATCTATCTATCTACCTATCTATCTATCTGTCTATCTATCTGTCTATCTATCTATCCATCTATCTATCTATCCATCTATCCACCGTGTACTGATACAACCCTCATATTCCTAAATTGAAACTTCAACAGGTCCTACAGTGTTAACACAACAGACTACATTCGCATCATGCATGATGCTAAGAAAACACATGAAGAAATCTAGCACATCCCTCCGACGTGTCTCCCTCACGGTGTCGTCGCAGTGTGTTTTTTCCAAGCAACAACGAGCACGAATCTTCGGCTGCCGCTGTGCTAGCATGCGTGTGGTGGAATGTAGTGTAGTGTAATGTAGTGTAGTGTAATTTAGTGTAGTGGGGTAGAGTGGAGTGTAGTGGAGTCTAGTTGTGTAGTTGTAGTTGTAGTTGTAGTGTAATGGAGTGTAGTGTAGTGTAAGGTAGTGAAGTGTAGTGGAAGATAGTGTAATATAGTGTAATGTAGTGTAGTGGGGTGTAGTGTAGTGTAGTGTAGTGTAATGTGATGTAGTGTAGTGTAGTGGAGCGTAGTGTAGTGTAATGTAGTGTGGTGTAGTGTAATTTAGTGTAGTGGAGTGTAGTGTAGTGCAGTGTAGTGAAGCGAAGCGACGTCTGAACCTCCAAAAGTGGTCCGAACCCCAGTGTTTTGAACATTTTCACTTCGAAATGTGCTTCGCGCCACAATGGCGTGCACTTTTTCGACAGCTCAACCTCCAAAACTGGTCCGAACCCCGAGTGTTTTGAACATTTTGACTTCGAAATGTGCTTCACGCCACAACGGCGTGCACTTTTTCGACATCTCAACTGCCAAAAGTGGTCCGCACCCATTTTGAACATTTTGACTTGGAAATGCACTTTTTCGACATCTCAACTGCCAAAAGTGGTCCGCACCCCTAGTGTTTTGTACATTTTGACTTGGAAATGTGCTTCGCGCCAAAACGGCGTGCAATTTTTCATCTCTCATCTGGCCAGCTGGCTCCGCACCCGCCGCTTTAGCGAGCCTACATTTCGACCCTTCGGAGCCACAAATCATTGGAAAAACACAGTGTTTCGCGACTTTCTTACCTTTTCGCGCATCTGCATCTTCTTTCTTCTGACTCTTTCTCTTCTACTCTTCTCTCTTCTGATCTTTCTCTTCTCTCTGACCCTTTCCATCTCTGCTTTTCATCTGTCCATATTGTCGGAAGTTTGACTTCTAAACTTCCTTCGATGATATACATGTCTGATAAATAATATAATGTTACAACCACTATCTATATATATGTATGTATGTATGTATGTGTATATATATAATGCCCACGTCAAAGCCATCCAAAACCCGTGTCCGCCAGAACTTGCCCCGGTTCTCCGCACCCGGGCGCCTGGTCTTGCATCATCTGAAGGCTGGACATCCTCCTCATCCTCGGCTCTGCATTGAGAGAAACGGCCACACGCTCGCGACAAGTTGGGGCCCCCGTTAACCATAGGAAAATGGGGATTGAACTCAGAAAAAATGGTGATTTAATTGGGATTTATAGCTGACTGTTGATAATATCTAGGGAAAACATGTGATTTAATGGGATTTAACAAGTGCTGGTTCTGTTACTTATCATCTAGGAAGTGGTTATGTGCTATGAATGGCTTTTCAATTGGCGGTTTGAACAACAAAACTCATTGTGATAATATATTGTTACTTATCATCTCGGAGGATCATGTATAATCTTGCTTACCCATTAACCAACGACTAAAATTATATATATATATACACATTAATGTTGGGTATTATACTGTGGATGGGCCAGCGAAATCCTGCACCACTTGATATCGATGGGCAAAATGCCAATATTTTCTTTGGGTTTCAACCATCCCAAATCGGTGGTGCAGGATTTCGCTGGCCCATCCACAGTAGTTCTTGAGTTGACAATCCTACTTCAATTGGGGGTGTTCAGGTTATAGTTATGATAAGTTATGTGCTAATGTACTTGGTGGCGAACTACCCACGGCTCGTAAGTGGGTTAGTTCACCCCAGTGATTTACATGGGATAAGGAGCGGGTTAATCCACTCAAAAAACTGGGGTGAGTTATAACCATTTATAACCCACAACCACGCGCCGTGGGTAGTTCACCACCAAGTACCATATCCTATTCAGTTGAGTGAACTAGCCCTCCGTTTACCATCTAAAAAAACATCAACAGCCCAGCCACAGCTTCCATTAGAAAGCTCACCATGATGCCCAAGCCCAGCTCGCCAAGTGTCTCCGTGAGGGTTTCCGAGATGTTCCCGCTCTTTTTCCTGGCTCCAAACTTCTCGGGACCCCAGTCCAAGTCCCTTTGGGGACCCCAGGACCCGTTACGTCCTTTCAAACAAGGTGGACCTCCAAAGGAAACTTTCCCCAGGTAACCTAAGGTTTTCCCCAATTACATTCATGTATGTATATATATATATATATGTATATATATATGTATACCAGTTGGTTCTTTAGTTATGTAAGCATGGCCCATGTAGTTAGACGATTTATAATGGTGTGCAGTGTTGAAGAATGATGATTTCCATAGCTGCATTCAATTGCCGAAGGGCAGATATGGAATTGGGATCATTAACAGCAAAACTGAACAAGAAAGACATCCTGTAAATAAATGTAAACAAGTGATAAATGCACAGAATTCTCAAAGAACTTGTTAAAACAAATCACATCGACTGGATTTGAGGATGGTTTTATGACTCAAAAAAAACAATTTTGAAAGGTCACCGGGTCACCATGGCGTGGACCCGAAACATCTCAATTGCTGATTTTTTTTTGTGTAAATTCTATACAATGTGGTGCCCCCAAACGATAGCTAAGTTGGGGTTCACATAACTCTATTTTCACTAGGACTTGTGGTAGATATATCTATAGTCAATGGGATTATAAACCAACTTATAACTGGGGGGCACCACCTTGTAGCTGATGGATGTTGATGGTAGATATAACACCCTGTTGTTTTTTTCAAATTTACAAACGAACTTATAGCTGTGCGGGCCCAGCTTGAACGATTCATCTGGTGGTGGTTTTGATATCCCTCCGAAAAGTGTTACTCAGTTGAGATCACAATACAGTTAAGGCCATTTACCAGTTATAAATGACTATCAATAGGGTTATAATTCCATAAATGGGGTTATTTCACTGACTTATAACTGGTATTTCGGGCCATAACTGAAGCAAATAGGCTTGATAATAACAAAGGATTGAAACCACAGTGTCATAATTTTGATCCATTCACATGGCGATTTTTTTGTGCATACCGGATACCTCATGTTTGGAGAAACCGACGTGAGGCTACACGCACAACAACCCATGGACGTGGTTGTGACCGACCAAAATTTGGAAGGTGGAGCTAGACTAGCAACACAACTGGTTGGTGGTATACCTACCCCTCTGAAAAATATAAAAGTCAGTTGGGATGATGACATTCCCAATATATAGAAAAATAATATTCATGTTCCAAACCACCAACCAGACAAGGTCTACAAGGACAAGAAACATCAATTTACAACGAGCAGCATCATATCAAGTGGAAAATCAGCCTGCTGACCAAGCTCTTCAAAGACCATTTGTGGGTTTCTAAAAATGGGTAAATCAAAATCAACAAAGTACTTGATTATTTCTGATGATGCGAAGCCAATGGCGATAAAGGAGCACTTGGAGAATTCCATACGGATCGAAGCTGGTTTGCACGTACCTGGGGTAAACATTTACACATTGATATGAAGGTGTCATGGTCACGTTAGAATGGGATTAATGGTTATACAGTTAAGGAGTTAAGGCCCTTTAACAATCTTAAACAGTTGTAAATGGTTATAAATGCTTATACATGGGGTTATTCTTCCACAAATAGGGTGATCTCACTGACTTATAACTTATAACTGGTACAGCTGGCCATAACCATATATGGTCATAGTCACAATAAACCCTACTGCATAAAAGTTAAAAAGCAAGTTAGCTAACAATAGGCGCCCCAACCTTGCATCTGTTGTTTTTCAACAAACAAAAGAAGGACGGTCCTAGAGTTGTGGCCCGAAAGACCACTTAGAAGTCAGTGAAATCACTCGATTTATGGAATAATAACCCCATAGAAATAACCATAGAAATAATCATAAACATGGTTAACTCTGGTTATTAACGGCCTTAACTGGTTAGTTATAAACCATTACAAAGTGGGGCCCCCAAACGATAGCTAAGTTGGTGAACATAACTCCAATAACTATGGTTTAAGTTTATGGTACGCAAATAACGAACTAGTTACTAGGGTGAATCTAAACCAACGTTCACATCACGTTTTGGGGCCCCACTTTGTATACCCTCTAGTAAACTAACATAGCTATTGGAAATGTCCATTTATAGTTGATTTACCCATTAAAAATGGTGATTTCCCATAGTTTTTTGTATGTTTACCAGAGGGTAAACCATTTATAACTGGTATTTCCAGCCTTAACAATAGTATAAACCATGTATAAACCATTTATAACTGCTCAAAATCCGGCAGCCACTTGTCCAAGTCGGCCATCCCCTTGTCGCTCTGAGGCTTCCACTTGTCGGAGATAATGCGGCGTCCAGGGCTGATCTGACCGCGAACCTTCTCCTTCAGGAAGGTCTTGTCCAAGCCTGATGGAACCGACTTGGGGAATTTTTCGATCATCAAGCTTGGTAATCGTCAAAATAGAGATGGTAATCCCCCCAAGCCATTATAATAATCACAATTATGGTATCATTATCATGGTTATAATAATGATGGTAATAATGATAATCATTGTTATAATCCAGATGGTAATGATGACCAAAAATAGTAATAATCATGATCATGCTAATGATAATGATAATTATGACAAGCTTGATAATTATGACCAAAACCATGATAATGATAATCATCAAAATAAAGATAGTAATGATGAGAGTAGTGATGATGATGATGATGATGATTATGATGATGATGATGATAAAACATGGGACAGTTAATGAACAAAGACAAAAGGGAACAAACACAATTAATGCGCAATAAAAATGGGGTAGTGATGGTAATAGTGATGATAATAGTGATGCTACTGATGATAGCAGTAACAATGATAATGATAATAGTGATAATAATGATGATAGTACTAATAACAAAACATTATGATAATATGTAATAATGAACACAGTCATAATGAACATAGTCATAATAATAATTAATGATGATATTCAACAAAAACAACAGAGCGTGTCATTCTAATTCTTCCACAGCACGGCACTGGTGGGATTCAGGTTATCAATTCCATCAATCACAAGCTGCGGTGAACAGGTACCCGTACCCCTAGAAACAAGATTAATCGGTTTAAAGGACAAAAAAATATCATGTTTATGTGCTCTGCATGTCGGCGTATCTACCCGCAAAAGAAGGAACCCATGCTTTCAGCGCCACAATGGGGTGCAAGTACACCGGGAAGTTTGGAGACCACATGATTTGGACGCCACTTTGCCTCCTGCTATTGGTTCCAGCAGGTGTAGGTTCAAGTCACTCCAATTGACAACATCAAAAGGGCCATGAAAAATAGGTCTATCCCATGCCGTTAAATTGTAGGTTATCATGACAATGATCCCCGATAAATTAGGTCGTATCATTCCCCATTTGAACCAATCAACCAGGGTACTTCGAATTGGTTGGTAAATATGTGATTACTATGGATTCTAATAACCCCCAATAGTACAAGCTGGTGCCCTATAGTGAACTAAATTGGTGTGTAACTCCAAGAGCTTGGGATCCTAGTTATATCTATACTTAATGAGGGTCACCTGAACCAACTCCGGTTTGTGGTTTTAACCATCTTCAAAAAAAAATAGTCAATGGGAAGGATTATCCCATATATCATGGAAACAAAACGTTTGAAACCACCAACCAGTATATCTCAGGGGCACCTTGTACAATCCCCTGTATTGACTCATCAAAAGAGGCATTTTCAGTGGTTGAACGGTACCCGCGTCCTCACCATTTTTCGCCATCCGATCCGCATTGTCTTGGCCGAAGCCAGAATGATGTTTCAGGGTCCCCGCAAAGGATGTAACAAGTAGAAGCTTTCTATTTTCCAGCATGGTATACCCACCAGTAAGTTAACATAGACCCTGGCAGTCATCAGGGTTGGAAGATTAGTTAAACCACTAAAGATTGGTGATTTTCAAGGCCTATGTTTATTTACCAGAGGGTAGATGATATGTTGCTGTAATTTCTCGGTTTCCAACTGTTCTATCTATTTGTGGGTTGCCAGAGTGTCACAACGATGACCTTTTGGGGAGAATACAGAGGTTGGCTTGGTATGCCGTGCTTCATTCATAGATCAGCTAGAAAATTGGACGTTCATTGGGCGGGTGCTCCTCTATCGATCAACAAAACAGTAGGAAAGGACATCTATTCTCTATTGTCCCTACATATACCACAATCACTTGGCCCTTGGATCTACCCCATATCCATTGCCCGAGTTAATGTCAAGGCAAGTGACGCAGCTTGCTGTTGATGTAATGTCCAGGCTTGCAGCTAATCTTCAGAGTGGCAACACGCTTGATACCAAACCTGACAGTCCACAGATTGCAAGGTGGCTTCCTTCGAGATACAGATACAGTAAAGTTGGATTATAAACCACACTTAAATTACTTTAGAAATACTCTAGACATATCTACCATAAACCATAGTTTATAAACCAACTTAGTTTTCAAAACTATAGTTTCAGTGATGTTGTTTGTTGGTTTATACGCACATTAAGTATAGATATATTACAGTTGAGGCCTTTTACCAGTTTAAATGGTTATTATACAGGCAATGGTTGTAAATGTTGTAAATCATAAATGGTGGTATTATTCCATACCCTCTGGTAAACAAACATAACTATGGAAAATCGTCATTTTTCATGGGTAATTCAACTAATAAATTGCCATTTTCAAGTTCGCAAACTGTTCGTTTACCAGAGGGTAAACCTCCATTTTCCTATGGTTTTCCTATGGTTTTCCTATGGTTTTGGAAAAACCACCAACCAGCTATTGATTTTCCAGTTCGCTATGTTAGTCATAACCAGAGGGTTTTTTTGTCAGTGAGATTTTCGTTGGATTCTCCTGTGAGGATCGCAGGAGAATCCAACATCCAGAACTCCTGTCCTGCAGTTATGGCCCTGGCGTTTTTAGTGAACTAACTGGTAATTTCTATGGGATTATACATTCTATAAATGGGGTTTTGTTAGTACTTATAACTGGTAAAGGGCCTTAACTGCAATGGATTGGTTTAAGAGAAAATCTACAGGAAACCGTAGATTTTCCCATTAAATATGGGAATAACTGGTAATTTCTACGGGATAAAAACACATTCTATTTTCATGGGGTTTTCTAAGTATGGATCTGACAAAATCCCGATACACAGCTAGCAACCAGAAATCCAAAATAAGTATGGTTGCTTAATCCCAATTATACATATTGCAGTTAAGGCCCGAAATACCAGTTATAAGTACTTAGAAAACCCCATGTATAGAATGTATAATCCCATAGAACTAACCAGTTATAGCTAATAAATGGCCATAACTGTGGGCTATGTTTTTTCGTTGTAATTTGTAAAATGATCGAATTGAAGGGAACACTAACCTTTGATAAATCTGACTTAACCCTGGCAAAAAAAGGTTTGTCTGTGCAGATTGTTGTCTTTTGCAAACCTGAGGTGTTCTCACCATGATTGATCCGGCATGGTGGGACCAGTGGAGTTACAAAATCAGGCTGATCAAAATATCCTGGTGTGTTTTCAAACATGTCTGGCAAACACATGTGAAAATCCATGTGCATTTCGGAAACATCAGAGTATTGGACATTTTTTGACCCATCTGGGTCAATCAAAAAAATGTATTCCTAACAAACCAGAAGCGAACTTTTTCATCCCTTCCCTCTAATATTAAACATCCCCTGGCCACGAAACCATGGTTTTTTGTTGGGAATTTCCACATAACTGGGACCATAGTTCTATGGGGTGCTTAATACGAACGGGTGATGGGATTACTTGGGAAAAATACGCCCCTATTAAGCAGCGTAAAAATGTGGGGCCGGCAAGGTCCCAGCGTTTAACAAAAACCAGCCATATCTTGCAAGAAGGGCACCCATGGGTATGTCAGTTAGTTAATAAATAGGATAAAATTAAGATTGGTATAATAGATAAAACACAAATAATATAATGTATAATATATATGTGGGTGGGTTTAAAAACAATACGTATACTCGTAACTGGCAGGCCCCATCGGATCCCGTACACCAGCAGAAACTACACCGGGTGTGTCTGACGAAAGCAAATCCAACGGTGTATTACAATGTGGCCCCCCCTACTTATAAGTTGGTTTATAAGCCTCAATAACTATAGTTATAAGTACCATGAACTATAGTTATTGGAGTTATAAACAAACTTAGCTATCTAGGGGGCCCCACTTTGTATAATCTTCCTCATTGAACTGCCAATCAGTTGTGGGTATACTCCATTTTCACACACATCCATATCATATTGTTGCTTTTCTCCCACTGCATTCCCTAAGTATCCCCATGTTCAAGTAACATTCCCATATCCTAAAGATTAAATCAACATTATCATCTGGTAATTTAACATAGCTTTGGACAATTATCGAACTAAATGGGTCATGCCTTCCAGTTCGCAAACTGTTAATCACTACCAGGTGGTAGATCCATCGGATGTTTATCTTATGATTTTTTTTTGTGAATGCCCCATTATAGCCGCCCCCATGATATCAATGGCCATTTCAGGTAACTCAATTGGAGTTACCTCCCATGTTTATAAGGCTTACGCTTTTGAGGCCTAAGGGAAAATCGTCACAAAATACGGCCTTACCTCCATAGGATCCTGAAATTTTCCACAGGGTAAACTAACTCGCCGAGACACTTAGAGTTCATCATGAACCTCACGTCCATCTGTCCGTTCCTGGATCTGGACTAGCCCCAAAAGGGCGGACTACCAAGTCGTTGAGACGTGGACGCAGCTAGCTCTGTATATGGTATGTGAGTGAATGTATTTTGCAACGATATATGCTGTGCATATATATATAAATATGTATATATGTATATATGTACACCTGTAAAGTATATATATATATATTTAATTCAATGTACATGTGTACCCCCCCAATATTTTGCAACGATATATGCTGTGCGTATATATATATATATAAAAATATATATATGTAAATATGTATATATGTATATATGTACACCTGTAAAGTATATATATATATATATCCGCCGACCCCGGCCATGGCAAGGGGGAGCGCGTCAGGGCAGAGAGGTTGTGAAACAACTAACAATCAACAACGAGCAACCAACAGCCGCAGCAGCAGCAACAGCAGCAGCAGCAGCAACAGCAGCAGCAGCAACAACAGCAGCAGCAGCCAATTTTTGGCGCCGAAATTAGATGGTGCTTTGCTGTTTCGCGTGGCTGCCTGTGCAATTGATAATTTGATTGTTGATAATCCGCCGACCCCGGCTGCGCAAGGGGGAGCGCGTAAGGGAAAAGGAGTTTGTGACACAGCAGTTTGTGATACAGCAGGAGCATATTAGATTTGATTGGACTATTGGGGTTCTAGTAGGAATAGCAGCATCACTTTTCTATGGGTTTCAGAAGTTACGTTAGGCATTTTCACGGTGCAATTTCAAATCTTTTCCGTCCTTCACTGCCATGGGGATTTGCCGCTGGGAGTGGTTCGTTTTTTAGGCGTCGCAGCTAGCCACCAGCAGCAGCAGCAGCAGCAGCAGCAGCAGGAGCCTCTTCAGCAGCAGGAGAAAACAGTAGCTATCATCATTTTCTATGGGTTTCAGAAGTTACGTTAGGCATTTTTGAGGTGCAATTTCGGAGCTTTTCCGTCCTTCACTGCCATGGGGATTTGCCGCTGGGAGTGGTTCGCTTTTTGGCGTCGCAGCTAGCCACCACCAGCAGCAGCAGCAGCAGCAGGAGCCTCTTCAGAAAAAGTAGCTAAAATCATCATTTTCTATGGGTTTCAGAAGTTACGTGAGGAGCAGCAGCAGCAGCAGCAGCAGGAGCCTCTTCAGCAGCAGGAGAAAAAAGTAGCTATCATCATTTTCTATGGGTTTCAGAAGTTACGTTAGGCATTTTTGAGGTGCAATTTCGGAGCTTTTCCGTCCTTCACTGCCATGGGGATTTGCCGCTGGGAGTGGTTCGCTTTTAGGCGTCGCAGCTAGCCACCAGCAGCAGCAGCAGGAGAAAAAAGTCGCTAAAAAAAACATCATTTTCTATGAGTTTCAGAAGTTACGTGTGGTTCGCTTTTTGGCGTCGCAGCTAGCCACCAGCAGCAGCAGCAGCAGCAGGAGAAAAAAGTGGCTTAAAAAATTATCATGTTCTATAGGTTTCAGAAGTTACGTGTGGTTCGCTTTTTGGCGTCGCAGCTAGCCACCAGCAGCAGCAGCAGCAGGAGCCTCTTCAGCAGCAGGAGAAAAAAGTAGCTTTCATCACATCATTTTCTATGGGTTTCAGAAGTTACATTAGGCATTTTTGAGGTTCAAACTCGGAGCTTTTCCGTCCTTCACTGCCATGGGAATTTGCCGCTGGGAGTGGTTCGCTTTTAGGCGCCGCAGCAGCAGGAGAAAAAAGTCGCTGAAAAAATCATCATTTTCGAAGGGTTTCAGAAGTTACGTTAAGCATTTTTGCGGTGCAATGTCGAAGCTTTTCCGTCCTTCACTGCCATGGTTCGCTTTTTGGCGTCGCAGCTAGCCACCAGCAGCAGCAGCAGCAGCAGTAGCAGCCTCTTCAGCAGCAGGAGAAAAAAGTAGCTAAAATCATGATTTTCTATGGGTTTCAGAAGTTACATTAGGCATTTTGAGGTGCAATTTCGGAAGCTTTTCCGTCCTTCACTGCATGGGATTTGCCGCTGGGAGTGGTTCGCTTTTAGCATCGCAGCAGCCACCAAGCAGCAGCAGCAGCAGTAGGAGCGTCTTCAGCAGCAGGAGAAAAAAGTACTAAATCATCATTTCTATGGGTTTCAGAAGTTACGTTAGGCATTTTGCGGTGCATTTCGAGCTTTTCCGTCCTTCACTGCCATGGGGATTTGCCGCTGGGAGTGGTTCGCTTTTTGGCGTCGCAGCTAGCCACGAGCAGCAGCAGCAGCAGCAGCAGCAGTAGGAGCCTCTTCAGCAGCAGGAGAAAAAAGTAGCTAAAATCATCATTTTCTATGGGTTTTACGTTTGGCATTTTTGAGGTGGAGCTTTTCCGTCCTTCACTGCCATAGGGGATTTGCCGCTGGGAGTGGTTCGCTTTTAGGCGTCGCAGCTAGCCACCAGCAGCAGCAGCAGCAGCACCAGCAGCAGCAGCAGCAGCAGCAGCAGCAGCAGGAGCCTCTTCAGCAGCAGGAGCAAAAAGTAGCTATCATCATTTTCTATGGGTTTCAGAAGTTACGTTAGGCATTTTTGAGGTGCAATTTCGGAGCTTTTCCATCCTTCACTGCCATGGGGATTTGCCGCTGGGAATGGTTCGCTTTTAGCCGTCGCAGCTTGCCACCAGCAGCAGCAGCAGGAGAAAAAAGTGGCTAAAAAAATCATCATTTTCTATGGGTTTCAGAAGTTACGTTAAGCATTTTTGCGGTGCAATTTCGGAGCTTTTCCATCCTTCACTGCCATGGGAATTTGCCGCTGGGAGTGGTTCGCTTTTAGGCGCCGCAGCTAGCCACCAGCAGCAGCAGCAGCAGCAGGAGAAAAAAGTCGCTAAAAAAATCATCATTTTCTATGGGTTTCAGAAGTTACGTTAAGCATTTTTGCGGTGCAATGTCGAAGCTTTTCCGTCCTTCACTGCCATGGTTCGCTTTTTGGCGTCGCAGCTAGCCACCAGCAGCAGCAGCAGCAGCAGCAGCAGTAGCAGCCTCTTCAGCAGCAGGAGAAAAAAGTAGCTAAAATCATGATTTTCTATGGGTTTCAGAAGTTACATTAGGCATTTTTGAGGTGCAATTTCGGAGCTTTTCCGTCCTTCACTGCCATGGGGATTTGCCGCTGGGAGTGGTTCGCTTTTAGGCATCGCAGCTAGCCACCAGCAGCAGCAGCAGTAGGAGCGTCTTCAGCAGCAGGAGAAAAAAGTAGCTAAAATCATCATTTTCTATGGGTTTCAGAAGTTACATTAGGCATTTTTGAGGTGCAATTTCGGAGCTTTTCCGTCCTTCACTGCCATGGGGATTTGCCGCTGGGAGTGGTTCGCTTTTAGGCATCGCAGCTAGCCACCAGCAGCAGCAGCAGTAGGAGCGTCTTCAGCAGCAGGAGAAAAAAGTAGCTAAAATCATCATCTTCTATGGGTTTCAGAAGTTACATTAGGCATTTTTGAGGTGCAATTTCGGAGCTTTTCCGTCCTTCACTGCCATGGGGATTTGCCGCTGGGAGTGGTTCGCTTTTAGGCGTCGCAGCTAGCCACCAGCAGCAGCAGCAGCAGCACCAGCAGCAGCAGCAGCAGCAGGAGAAAAAAGTAGCTATCATCATTTTCTATGGGTTTCAGAAGTTACGTTAGGCATTTTTGAGGTGCAATTTCGGAGCTTTTCCATCCTGCACTGCCATGGGGATTTGCCGCTGGGAATGGTTCGCTTTTAGCCGTCGCAGCTTGCCACCAGCAGCAGCAGCAGCAGCAGGAGAAAAAAGTGGCTAAAAAAAATATCATTTTCTATAGGTTTCAGAAGTTACGTGTGGTTCGCTTTTTGGCGTCGCAGCTAGCCACCAGCAGCAGCAGCAGCAGCAGCAGCACTAGGAGCCTCTTCAGCAGCAGGAGAAAAAAGTAGCTAAAATCATCATTTTCTATGGGTTTCAGAAGTTACATTAAGCATTTTTGAGGTGCAATTTCGGAGCTTTTCCGTGCTTGAGATGCAATTTCGGAGCTTTTCCGTCCTTCACTGCCATGGGGATTTGCCGCTGGGAGTGGTTCGCTTTTAGGCGTCGCAGCTAGACACCAGCAGCAGCAGCAGCACCAGCAGGAGCCTCTTCAGCAGCAGGGAGAAAAAATAGCTATCATCATTTTCTGTTAGGCATTTTTGCGGTGCAATTTCGGAGCTTTTCCGTCCTTCACTGCCATGGGGATTTGCCGCTGGGAGTGGTTCGCTTTTAGGCGTCTCAGCTAGCCACCAGCAGCAGCAGCAGCAGTAGGAGCGTCTTCTGCAGCAGGAGAAGCACGTAGCTATATATTATCCTTTTCTATGGGTTTCAGAAGTTACGTTAGGCATTTTTGAGGTGCAATTTCGGAGCTTTTCCGTCCTTCACTGCCATGGGGATTTGCCGCTGGGAGTGGTTCGCTTTTAGGCGTCGCAGCTATAGACACCAGCAGCAGCAGCAGCAGCAGCAGCAGCAGGAGCAGTAGGAGCCTGCCTCTTCAGCAGCAGGAGAAAAAAGTAGCTAAAATCATCATCTTCTATGGGTTTCAGAAGTTACATTAGGCATTTTTGAGGTGCAATTTCGGAGCTTTTCCGTCCTTCACTGCCATGGGGATTTGCCGCTGGGAGTGGTTCGCTTTTTGGCGTCGCAGCTAGCCACCAGCAGCAGCAGCAGCAGTAGGAGCCTCTTCAGCAGCAGGAGAAAAAAGTAGCTAAAATCATCATTTTCTATGGGATTTCAAAAGTTACATTAGGGATTTTTGAGGTGCAATTTCGGAGCTTTTCCGTGCTTCACTGCCATGGGGATTTGCCGCTGGGAGTGGTTCACTTTTTGGCGTCGCAGCTAGCCACCAGCAGCAGCAGCAGCAGCAGCAGCAGTAGGAGCCTCTTCAGCAGCAGGAGAAAAAAGTAGCTAAAATCATCGTTTTTATGGGTTTCAGAAGTTACATTAGGCATTTTTGAGGTGCAATTTTGGAGCTTTTCCGTCCTTCACTGCCATTGGGATTTGCCGCTGGACGTGGTTCGCTTTTAGGCGTCGCAGCTAGCCACCAGCAGCAGCAGCAGCAGGAGAAAAAAGTCGCTAAACAAATTATCATTTTCTATGGATTTCAGAAGTTAGGTTAGGCATTTTTGCAGTGCAATTTCGAAGCTTTTCCGTCCTTCACTGCCATCGGGATTTGCTGCTGGGAGTGGTTCGCTTTTGGGCGTCGCAGCTAGCCACCAGCAGCAGCAGCAGCAGCAGCAGCAGCAGCAGTAGGTCAGTTATATCCCCATTGTTCTAATTGATATACCGATATACCCTACAACATATCTCCAAATATCCTCATTTGTTTGCTTCCCAAATATCCCCATGTTGAGTTCACAAAATCTCGCGGCTGTGCAAACTCTGAAGCTCTTGCACCGCAGCTATCTTGCAACTAAGAGATGGTCGCCAAGCACATGAGAATTAATGGCCGCAGCAGAACATTTGGCGTCAACAACGCCAGTAGCAAAAACATATCCTCACTCTTCGGCCGTTCCTGAAATATGTGTGTATATATATATATAATGATATACATATATATATATATATATATAGCAATGGGATCAAAGATTTAAGAATCTAAGCAGTAAAGATTGAGTTGAGATGTTGACCAACAGGAATTAGTTGGTGAGCTACCCCCAATCTCTGCAAAGCCCTTCAGATGAATTTCTTTATTTCATGTGCGGATTGAAAGAAAACTCAAATATCGATACAAACAAGATACGACTGTGGTAAAACCATTTAAAACAAATGCTACAGAAAAAAAACGGCGTTCCTGGTCGTTGATTCCGGGGTCGGCGGCAGGGGCGGCAGCCCTTAATATTTAATTCAATGTACATGTGTACCCCCCCCAATCTACTCGAAACACTTTCTCGCATCCAATCGTGCATGTGTCCATCCGTACATTGTGACTTCTCGACGATGGTTGGCTAGATATCCCCGTATTTCAACTTATTGACCTAGGATGCCGGTAGTGACGGTTGTTTTTAAACATACAAGGAAAACTCCATGAATACATACATCCTAGTTATTGCCATACATCCTAGTCATTGGAACTGCGGAACTGCCAATTTAGTTACTAGATAAATCAATTGTTAATCACCAAATATTGTTAAATTGTTACATCAATTTACAATCACCATGATTGATTCGTAAATCCCAATTCTCCCAATGTTTTTTGGGCCCCACCTTGTACAAACGGTTACCACCGCTGCCAGGTCACTTCCTCCCAGTGGAACTCAGATTGAAACCGGTCACAAAATCCTGAGAAAACAAAACATCGAAAACAAATCCGTTTTAACAACGAAAATTGTGGTTGTCTCATGATTTCACTACCGGGGACACCGATCTACTTTTGGTGATGTACTTTTTGGTTTCTTGGATCTATTTTTTGGAGACATGATTTTAGGTTGTTGCACAAAACACGTGGTATTTAAATTTGAAATACATCCATCGAAATTAGTTAATGATGAATCACGTTCGTCTCTCTTTCGGGCTACTATAGTGACAATGTACCAAACATATAAATGAACATATGCAACTATGTATATAAATAAATATATATATATATATATATATATGTATATATCAGGGTTGTGCGCTGTGGGCACGTTAAGGTAGAAAAATGAGCTGTTCAACAGTGGACAGTATGAAGCGTAATCCTAAAGGCGATGGGGTGCAAAAATTGTTTTCACTGCCAAGAACAGTTGGCTCTCTCCTGAGGGTCTGAACGGAAGGAATTCACTATATGAGATACACCTGCCAATTTTTGCTATAGGCACATAAGGCTGACGATTTGCAACCCGTTAGGCAAAAAATGCGGAAACATCTTGAACTTGGAAGAAATCAGGGTCAATCATCATTGGTAACCTGCAGGCAGACCCTGGACTTGCAAGTTTAGTCTTTTCCCAGTCGCCTTCGCTCAGTCGCAGGTTGCCCCTTCAAGTCTGGCTCATCAGGAATTGCATCTTTCAATTTACTGGCCATCGTGTGCGCTCCGACCTGAGATGATGTTGGAGCCGACCACGGCCTCCGCATGACAGCCTTGTAGCGAAGGAGCTGTCAACCATCTTGTGGCTCCGCCAAATCTATAGATAGATAGATAGATCGATAGATAGATCGATAGATAGATAGAAGATAGATAGATAGATAGACAGATAGATAGATAGATAGATAGATTCAGATAGATAGATAGATAGATAGATTCAGATAGATAGATAGATAGATAGATTCAGATAGATAGATAGATAGATAGATTCAGATAGATAGATTCAGATAGATAGATTCAGATAGATAGATTCAGATAGATAGATTCAGATAGATAGATTCAGATAGATAGATTCAGATAGATAGATTCAGATAGATAGATAGATAGATAGATAGGTCGATAGATAGATAGATAGATAGATGGATAGATTCAGATAGATAGATAGATAGATAGAAAGATAGATAGAGAGATACATGTCCGGTGTCAAACTCAGAGGTAGGCCCAATTCATCGCCAGAAGAGCTCCGCAAGCGGAGCCGCAAATCCAGATCCAAGATGCGTTTTTTTAAAATTATAATTGGTAAAGGGCCATAAGTGCATGATATACAGATGGTAGGACCTTAAGACCAATGCAATGGTCGATACTGAGAGGTAACAATCACAACCCCCAGGTGTTGCCTTAGAAAAATACGAGATCGAACTTGATAATGGATGTTGCCAACGCATGCGGGTCAGGTCAACGACTTGACTCTGCATCATCTGAGAGTATGGGTATCGTACGGAGAAATTATGCTTCCCTGCAGTAAAAACAACAAACACATTTTTAAATTCCATGGATTTCGGTTGAACAATGATCCACACATAGTGGGTTTTCCATGTCTATGTTGTTGCGGATCACTTTATTGTTGATCTAATTCTTTGCTCTAATTTATCCAAAAATCAAATCTGGTTATTGTTATTCAACATTTTCCCACTCATCCCTTCCCCCGTTCATATTAAACAGCCCCTAAACGAAACCAGGTTTCGCGTTGGGAATTTCCACATTCCAAATGGGGTGTTTTCCATCTGAACGGGTGATGGGATTAATAGTTTTACATCAACATCTATCCCTATGTATTTTAGTCGTACCTTCTGAAAGGAAGTGGGACTGGGGTATAATTTACTATAATTTGGAGGGTTAGCCGTACCTTCTCAGATAGTGTTTGGATCCATAAGATATATTATAAGACACTTATAATATATATATCCTTTGGTTATTTAACGTAGCTAGGGAATAGATGTCCAATTTATAGATGATAAACATGATGATTTACCTATTAAACATAGTGATTTTCCATGGCTATGTTAAAAAATCAGAGGGTATATTTAACATCTATATATATATAAGAACACTGTTTTCCTGGCTGTGACATCTATATGAAATAACATTTTGAAAAACTAATAGTTGTAATAATTCACCACCCTAAAAAGGTCAGGCCTTTGGGGGATATGCTAATCCCAAGCTCCTCGTGACGTGACGTGAGCTTATCCAATAATCGCAGTAGGCAATCATATATCACCATGCTGGCAAATGCTATCCACAGTTATGGCCCAACTAACATTTAAACATGGATATAAATAAGATTATAATGATGTACAACCTTAGTCATAGGAGATATTTCAGTTCATTTATAACTGTTAGTGATTGTTGATGGCCACAACTGCAATATCTCATGGACCAAGGTATTTTTTCAACGGGCTTGACCCTCTTCAAATTTCAACTTCAATCCCCAAGAGATTTGGTCGTGGACCACGATGCTTTGCAACCCATCTTTGTTTTTGGACTCAACAACCATCACAGTATGACCAATATAATTTTGGGTACTTCCGGACTACCCTTAATATGAGTCAAACTATTATTGACCTATATTGACCTCTAAACAACATATTCTTTATGATTCATGATGATCAACCGGACTGCCAAACCAATATGTTTGCTCTAACACATCTTGATCCCCGTGTTGTATTGGATTTTCTTGGGCGGTAAAAAAACACAAACACAAATACCAGTAGCTTGATCAAGTTCTTGCGCTATAAGAATCCTAAGTCCACTCAGTTCTTTCTACCATATCCTTCAAGAGCTATACTCTGCAGGGGGCCCAGGGGTATATACGGCATATAGCTCCGGCATTTATTTACAACAAATATGGACAATATGTGTCACATATGCCCCCACAATTGTTTTCACATATGCGCAAATGTCCGTAACATCTGATCTTGTGAAAATAAAAGCTCACGGACATATTATATGTCCGTAAGACCTTGTTTACGTAAAACGACGAGATCTTGAATCTTGAATACATTATATGTAATACATACATGTAATGCATATGTAATACATATGCAGCTGCAAATGTGTACACAAATGTCTACATGGATATATGTATATGATCATGTCCGCCTGTACTCTACCGAAACCCAAACCACATAGCTCTTGAATTAAGATAAGTATAGATAAGTTATGTTCACCAACATGGCTATCGAACGGGGGCACCATATCCTACAGTTATGACCATTTATTAGTCATAACTGGTTATTTCAATGGGCTTATACATTCTATTTGATGGGGTTTTCTTAGAACTTATAACTGGTATAACTCGGGCCTTAACTGTGTTCAGTCTAGCCATGTCTAGCCATGTCTAGCCCTCAGTTTTCCACACATCAACAGCCCAGCCAGGTCCATCAGGTCCCCCAGGTCCCAGGGTCGACACCGTCTGCCATAAAGACTGGCATGGGCTTTTCTAAGGGAGTCCATTCACCGTGCTCGCCCATCTTGCTTCGCCACCTCCGATTGCCATGAAACATGGAGGTTTAAGAGAACAACAAGTAGAGATTTCAGGTGATTTGAATTGGATGTATGTATATATAATACTATATATGTATATTTATAAATATAGTATCATATTATATATATACATATTAAATAAAAAGGTGATTTATTGAATATATATATAAATATACTATATTATAAAATATGATGGCATTCAATGGAGCTTAATAGGATAATCAAACATGATTCGTTGGGAATTCCCCGAACGAAATTGATGTGTTGAAGTCTTTTTTATATGGACAAGTGATCGATCTTAATAGGGAAATGTCCAGCTAACCCCCCCTAGGGTATATTTTCTCATTCCATGAAAGCCCCACTGGTTGGTTTATTGCTACCCCTACTATGGGGCATCATAATCCCCAATCAACCAGGTAGAAAAGATTGCCATCTCTACTGCCCAATCAACAGGGATATGTTTAGTGAATAAACAGCATCTGATTTTTCCGGGGAAATTTGCTAGGGAGCCCCAACGTGATAGCATTTTTGATACTTGAAATGATAGTATATTAGCATCATTGTAATGATAGTATATACTAGGGCAATCCCTACTACTAGGGCACTGGTCATTTTGTATGTAAACATAACGTTGTACGGATTATGCATTGTCCTTTCACGTCAATTTGGGTGATGAAACACCCAAATTGAGCGGGGAAACCTAAGGACTCCTATAAGGGACAACACACCATCGCAACGAGATGTGTCAAGTGTGTATTAATTGTCATTCATCCATATATATATATATGGATACTGACATTTGCTCTACTGTATATTTATAGACATACATGCATATTTATAGTACCATCATGTGACACAATGAATATATGTATATATATATATACCATTCATATTTCAATATACAAATCCGTTTTCTTAGAAGAAAAACACTAATTGCCATGAGCCCCTAAATTCCCCATTAATCTTATGACAATTCCATTAATATTCCATGCAGATTCCATTAGTATCTCATCAAATCCCGATATTCGCAACAACGAACATATATTAATTCCTATATGTTTGTGTCCATTCATATTCCATGTCATTCATATTCTTCAAAACCCCTAATGCATAGATATTAGGATACTTATTCAATAATCCCCTCAATATACTTGTTCAATACTCCTCTTACATTTTTTTTAAATCATAGGCAATCATCTGAAATCATCTTAAACCATCTACAATCATCTTAAATCATCCCCATTCCCATAGTTTTCCTTAGTTGTAACCTCAGGTATAGGAGGTATTTCAGTTCATAACTGTTTTCATGGCCATAACATTGCCAATCAGCCAGATACCCTGCAAAAAATGACAAATTCTTTGCTGCTTAGTAGATATTCCCATTAATACCAAAAGACTAAAGGATTAGTAGGTATCCATGTAAGATTGACCTAGATTTCTGGCAACACACGCAGCAACCGCAGCAGTACCACGGTCCTGCAGGTCTCCGAGGTCAGCTCCAAGACTTGTCGTCGTTCACCCAGGGACTTGTCCACCAACAAGAGGCCTGGAAGGAGACGTGAGGGCCTACAGTGATGGCCTGAAATACCAGGTTTTTTTATGGTTATAAGCTATAAATGGCTATGAATTCCATAAATGGATATACATGATGTGATTTCACTGACTTATAACTGGTATTTTGGGCCATAACTGATAGTTCATTGGGATTTGATAAGGTTTTCTTTTGTGATTTCATGAACAATTCATGAAATTGAAGGATTTTGTAAGGATCGTTTTGCGTTTTGGGTGATTTGATAGGGATGTGATAAGATCTCACACAGATCTTAGAAGGATTTTATGGGGATTTGATTTAATGGACAATTACAGGCTTTGATTGGATTTAAAGGAAAAATAAGGGATTTCATGGACAATTCATGCATGTAATGGGATTTTTGTCAGGGTTTTACGACAGTTAAGGCCCGAGTTATACCACTTATAAGTACTAACAAAATCCCATTTATAGATTCAGCATGTATAACCCCATAAAAATGACCAGAATAGCCATGGCCATAACTGTAGACAATAATTAATGGATTTAATGAAGATTTATAGGGATTGATCACTGGATTCATCTGCAAATCGATGAATTCGGTGGATGTTCCTTTGGTGATTGTTCGAAAAAAATGAATGAACCCTAGTAACTATAGTTATAAGCACCATAAACAATAGATTCGAGTTATCAAGCAACTTAGCTATCTAGGGGACCCCACTTGTAGGGCTTAATCAATGAACATGGGGATAAAACATGAAAAACAAGAGCAACAATCGTATTTCGATACCTTGTTTTACTTGAACATCTAGAAGACACTAGTTTTTTGACCATCAAATTCATCGGGTTGTCCAGTAAATAAAAAAATAAAACAGTTCTGCGAGTTGAAGGCGTTCATCTCGCGCTTTGGGTCTGGGTGGTACAGTTGAGGCCCGAGTCATACCAGTTATAAGTACTTATATATAACCCCATCAAAAAAGAATGTCTAACCAGTTAGTTCACTAATAGCCATTGCCATAACATGCCATAACTGTCTGGTTGGTGGTTTTAACATGTTTTAACCATCTTGAAAAATATGAAAGTCAATGGGAAGGATGACATCCCATATATGAAATGGAAAATTAAAAAAATGTTCCAAACTACCAACCAGTATATATATATTACTTCTATCCCAAGTATGCCTTCCCAATGTATACGTCTACTCCAAGTATTCATCCCCATATATGAAATGGAAAATCACCAGTTTTAATAGGTAAACCCAGGTAAACCATCTATTTCGATTAGGGCCATCTATACCATGGCAAACTGTGAATGTCATAACCAGAGGGTATACGAAATGGAAGTCATAAAAGCCATGTTTGAAAGCACCAACCAGCTGTTTTTTTCTTCATGGGATTTACTCAGACAAACGGATTTGATGTCCTGAAAAATGGCTGGGCAATCACCATCATGAAGGCCGTGGCTTAATAAACGACGCATCGAGACGCATTTCGATAAGGGGCACGATAACCATTGCCATTGCCGTATGAACAATAGTACAAGTAATGTCAAGAAAAAAAGAACAACGCACAAAATAATGAATACATATATATATATATGTATAAAATCATGGAAGCTACTAGCAATATGTAAGGAAAACCCCAAAAGGTGGAGAATACAACCTATCACTATTTGAATAAGAATTTACGTTTCTATCTGTTTGGGAGTTGCAATATCTATATCTATATATGTATGTATATATATATATAGGCATACATGTGTGTGTGTATAAAAATGAAACATACCGTACCCATCCGTACCCCACAATCGCCATGTAGATATAGATAATCATGTTTATATGTATAGTTCGTTTCGTTTATTAAGATACTAACACTGAATAGGGTATATTATATATATATGTATGTACGTATATTAATCTAGTAAGGATAGTTTTTCACTATAGGTATGCAAAAGTCTATATAAAGCGTAGTGGACACAATAGATGTATGAGTGTATGATACGTTAAATCTGACCCCTATCGAAGTACAAGTCAAAACATACCATCCAGAAGGGGGTTAAGGACAATTTATAGGAACACCCCAAAAGAAAGTATAGGAAACCCGCATACTTTGCCAAGGATTTTCCCTTACACATATCAAATGAACATAGATATAGAGAGAAGCCAACGTATATATATATAAATATATATATATGTGAAGCCATATATGTTAGTACTTATACATATGTATACATATATGTACACATGTATATGCAAATACATGCATATGTAATGCATATGTATTGAATATGTATATAGAGAGGGCTCCATGAAGAAACAATTGAAGAGATGCATGTGTCTGTCGACATGAAGGAACATTATCACATATATATATATACACAATGCCTGTACTACTGGTGAATGTGTAATTCAGGCTTGTGTGTAAATCTACGAATCTCAGACAACTGCTTTGGCGGATTGATAGATTTGATCGTACGAGGTGGTGGGGCCCGTTAGATAACCAAGTTTGTTTAAAGCTACGTCAATTCTATGGTCTATTGTAGATACATTGTAATCATAGTATTAATCAGGTTTATATGCCAACATATACCTGGGGGACCTCATGTTGTAAGTACAGCTAAACCTCCAGCGAATACATTTAGGTGATGCAGCTAGTACTGATTGACACTGAACAAAAATCAGGGGACCCTCACTGGATGTACCACAACCAGGTGGCTCCCCCACAGCTATGTTTGCTGGTTTATAAACCACTCTAAGTACGATTAAAATAAACCCAACAGTCAAGTATGAGTTATAAACCAACTTGACTATCTACACGGTGAGGCCCGCTAGATAGCCAAGTTGACTTCAAATTGGCTCACTATTGTATGGGGAATATTAATTGAGTTACTGGGGATTATAAACCAACGTATAACTGTGGAGCCTCATCATGTATTTGCATAACCCCCAAAATAATCAACCAAAAAATGAATTTGAAGACTGCTCACCTGGACTTTTGCATCTTTAACTTTGCTCCACTCATCACCGCGTGCCTTTGGAAAAGCTGCGTCCAGTGGAGTAGTGGACGAAAACCTCCCAGTCCACCTACGCGACGGAAGAGCCGGACGTAGTCCGTGGATCTTCAAGGGGGACTTTTTCAATACAGTTACAATGTAGGGCCCCCTAGCTATAAGTTGGTTTATAAGCCCCAATAACTATAGTTATAAGTACCATAAACCATAGTTATTGGAGTTATAAACCAACTTAGCTATCTATGGGGCCCCACTTTCTATGGCCCGAAATACCAATTACAAGTCAATTATAACCCCATTCATGGAACAATTGTCCTACAGAAATAGCCATTTAAAATCATAGAAATAACTGGTAAAGGGCCTTAACTGTAAAAATGGATGAACCTTAAGGTTTAACTGTTTAACCAATCAAAATGGTGATAAAATCAGCACAAAACATGTTTCAATTCATTAGTTTAAACCAGAAAAATTTGCCAAAAAAACAGAAACATACAATTCCGAAAGCGATGGGGCCCCATTTATGGCCGGTAAAAACAAAACTAGCCATTGAAGAAGAGGGAAGCATGATGCTGTCAACCGGGAAAGTTTTGATTTTCAAAGATTGGGTTTGGGGTACCCTAGAAAACCCAAAGTCAGAGCCAGATTTTTATCACTCAAAGGGCGAAAACAAATGTCAGGAAAACCATGGTCTTTGCGGTCCAAGTATCAGGAGATATCTGAAGGGACCTCAACTTTCCACAAAGGATGAATATATATAATATATCTGCTTGGTGGTTTTAACCATCTTGAAAAATATAAAAGTCAATGGGAAGGATTATCCCATATATTATGGAATCATGGAAATAAAAAATGTTCCAAACCACCAATTCACGGAGTATAAAGGTTTACTTCTATCCCAAGTATGCCTTTCCAATGTGTACGTCTACTCCAAGCATTCATCCAAACATGCACAAATATTGTTTACACGCTCTATACATAAGTTCAATATACTCTAAAACCATATTGCATATACTCTTGTATACTCTTCTATAATTACTTTTATATATATCCGTAAATATTCTTATGCATTCTGATATGTTCTTAAATATTTACATATATATATATATATATTCATACATTTTTTTGGATGTTCATATATATATATATATGGTTCCGGTTCCGCGATGGTTTCGGCCCACCATGCCGGCAGTGATTCTTAGCTTTTTTCCAAGACAGCCTGTGCGCTTCATGCCTTCATGCCGACATTTTGTACAGAGCAAGTTCGGCCTTCAACTGACGAATTTCTTGGTGAAGTCTATCATTCTCTACCTCAATCTCTTGATGGACTTTCACAGCTTCGATCAGTTCTTCAAGAAGGGTTCGCTCATCCTTTGTCAGTGGTGCTCTGGCCCCGGATGAACTCACAGACATGGATGAGGATGAAGATGAAGAACTTGAGCTAGAGCCATCATCACAGCCTTGATCTTTGGAACCTTCATCTGGAGGCACAGAGCGATCATCATCAATGGGCATCTCTGGTGGAGGCACCGAGCGATCATCATCAATAGGCATCTCTGGTGGAGGCAGGGCAAGCATTGGAACCGTGGGCATCTCTGGTGGAGGCAAGGCAAGCATTGGAACCACACCTTGGGATGAGGATGACGCACGCGCACGCCCATCTTTTTTGCTTTGCAGCCAAGCCATCAATGCAGCATCGCAGTCGGTGGACCAAGCAACATTTTGCGCAAGTGTACCATGGTTCACAGCATTGCGCCTGATGGTGTTCATCTGAACTTGAAGTTGCTTCTTGGTGACCTCTGCCCTGTCAGCATGCACAGCAACAACTCCACGACGAATGTTCTCAAGGATTTCAGCAACATCAGGAGGCTGAGAAGATGCTGGTTCTGCTGGTTTGCTTCCAGGCATGTTGCCCACAAGTTCCGACGTGATGTGCTGCCGCTCATTGACATAGGCTTCAACGGCAAGCTGCATGCGCGGAGACTTCGGCATGGGCTAGCACTACTACCGAGACCTAAAAGATGATGCAGGTACTGTCAATGGGATAATGCCTGCAATATGCATTCAGAATGCAGCCATACAAAGCTATCACAAGAACAACCAATCTTGACACGCAGACATGGCTCAACATGTATGGTTTGAGATTACATTGTGTGTGAAGCAGACATGAGTACATGAAAAGCAGACGAAGCAAACTAACATGTATAAGTTTTTTGTTTTTCGAAGCTTGCGTGGCTGTCGGGCTAGTTCTACTGTAAGCGCTGCATTGCCTGAATTGTGGTGGCCAACGGCACTACAGACACATTTCTGCCATGTGCATTCCTGGCATGGATTCTACGCCAATGGTATTCATTCAAAAGACGTCTCCATTTTTGTCGGTCATTATGTGAAGGGAGCCGACCGCCCTCACGCTTACGAATCCATCTTTTTACAAGCGACCAACGATTCTCAATATGATTTGTTGTAAATCCATGGGCGTTGGTAATTTCACCGGCGCTATGGTTGACAATCTCATGCCAAAGATCTGCGTCGCCCCAGCCTTTCTCTTGCTTCAATTGTTGCACAGTCGCTATGGTCGCTTTCCAGCCATCAGTGACTATGATAGTTTTGGGTTGCAAATTGAGAAGGCGAAGACAATCAAGAATCTCAGCTTGGCCCCGAGGTTTGCCATCCATTGCATCCTGCGGGTGCTCCAAAACACGAAAGAGGAAACGATCTGGCCTGCGGGGTACAGTAGCGCCCCAGACCCAGACTTGATCAGGTCCTGCATGGGAACTTTTGCTAAGGGCACCACTCCGCAACTTGTTCAAGTGAGACTCATCAACTTCGACAACATACTTGTACTTCTTGTAGAAGGACATAGCATCAGGAACTTTTGTGACCGAGGATTGAACTTGCTGCATGTAGCAGGTCGTTTGCATGGTGCGTGGACTTTGGAGGAAAGCGTTTTGATGGCATGCTGCTTCTTCATCGCAGTCTTCCGAACTTGTCTTGCTGGCTTCTTGCTCAAGACCTTCTTCGGTGGAAGCTTCCGAACTTGGTTTGCTGACTTCAAAGATGTGGAAGTGATACTATAGGAAGTAGCATGATGCCAAAGATCTGCTTTGACTGCTTGATGAAAAACTTCTTCCCATTGGTTCAGCTGTTGGTGCCAAATACTAATACCTGCTTCCCGAATAATAATCCAGGAAGGGTAATCGAAGCTCCACATACACATGCAGTCAAAGAAGGTCAAGAAATGTTTTGCCTTAACACCTTGAAGGATTGTTCCTGATGTCAAAGATCGTGATGTGTTGGTACACTGGTCACAACTTTTCTTCCTTGAGACCCAATCCCATGACTGTCGATCTTGCCCAAGTCGAAGTCTAAGACGAAAAGAGCCAGCACACACTTCACGTGTAATCTTGAGGCAAGAGATCTGCCTGCATGGCGAACATAATCCCCTTCAAGGATGTGTGGTTGGGGTAGGGATCAGTTCTTTCCAAAGAAGCCCACTTGACATGATGTACGAAATGCTGTTCTCGACTGGATGCGGGTCAAGCAAAACTTCTTCTGGAAGTCTTCCATGCTCTTGTAGGCCGCCATTGCTGACCATAGGGCAGGACATACACACGCAAGCTCTGGCGAAACCTATAGCAAATTTATAGAAGAATGCAGCAGAGAGAACTACTGAGATAATTTCCGTTAAGCGTGTATGCAACAGAGTATCAATGCAGAAACAATTGCAATCAGTTGCATGAATGCAGACATGAGACAAAATATGTTGGATGCTTTAACACTAAGCAATGTTTGCGCCGCACCAAGGTCAAAACTGTGTCCTGACTGCTTCAATCTGCATGCTAGAAGACTCATGGCTTTACAGTATCTACTCTACTTCACTCTCTCAGAAAATACCAGAAGATGAGTTTGCAAACTAGAGGGTGAGTTTGCAAACTGTTTGTTTTGTGCATGGCGTTTTCTTTGCAGACATGTGCGTTGCATTTTCTTTGCAGACATAAAGTTGTGCATTGCATTTTATTTGCTAATATAAAGGTATGCATTATAACTTATTTTACTTTTTGTCCTCTATATTGCTTTGTGCATTGTATTCTTGAAGTTATGGTTATATAAAAATGTTGAAAAGGGGAGGTCCGAAATCATCCCCTAGCCATATATATATATATATATATAGATATATTCTTACATAGTATATATGCACAGAATTTAGAATCTATTTTTCCAGTACACGAAAAACAACGTACATCCCCAAGAATTCACCACGCTTCTCGCATCCGCGCCTTGGCGTTCTTCATTTTGGGCACAGAACCGTCGTGGCGCTCAGAGGAGAGGTACTCGGTGCTGAAGTTGGACAAACTCCACAACTTGAAGGTGCCTGCAGTTCGCTGAGAAAAAAGGATATGTAGAACATATGTATGACTAAATATAAACATAATATATGTATATATATATATATACATGTACATAAATTGTGGTGGTAAAATGATGATATAAACATATATATTTATATATATAGATTATACTATTTATATATGATTATATATATATATATATATAAAAAGTGGGGCCCCCGTGTACGATAGCTAAGTTGGTGAACATAACTCCAACAACTATGGCTTATGGTAATTCATAACTGGGGGGGCACATTGTACCATGAGCACATGATGAGGATATACGTTTGATACTGACAAACAATGGACCCACACCTATGGTAAGTATTGCGTTATGTCATAGCTCTCCGTACGCAGACGTGTAAAGCTGACCCGGCTCAGTTGCTACAAGGTTCAAACAGTCAAGCGTGTTGGGTTTATGAAAGACTGTACTTGGATGGTTTTACCTGTTTTTAGCGGATTCATTAGAACAATGCCTATATATATATCATATATATATTATAAATATATTATACATATTATATATATATGTATATATGTAGATATATATATATATATATCACTAAGCATGCAATGATCTATGGGAATATCATGAGGATGCGATTGGGATTAATCATGGGGGTATTTGTTGATTATTATTATTTTTTTTGTGGGGCCCCGCGGAAAAAATTTGGCTTTGATCATCTAATGTACCTGAGAAGCTACGGTATGTGGTGCTCCATATTAAGATAGGCGAAGTTGGTTTAGTTCGGCGAGTCAACTGTTGAATTTATGGTCATTGAGCAGTCTTCAAAATCCCTCTGTCATTCCATTTCCCGTTTTCCATTAGGCACAGAAGTCTCAGCTGAAACGACAACGGAGACGGCCAATGGGCCTTGTAGCCTTCCCGTTTTAGGAGAAATGCGCAGTCTGTAGCATCGATAGTCCAAATAATAGGCAGGACAGCTCCAGCTGGTCTTCGTCGAAATGGCTCGATTGTCAATTTCAATGCTTTGGCCAATCGTCGCAGGAAATGGCTAAACCATGTAGCTTATTTACAGAAATCATAGGTATAGTGGACAGGAAGTCCGACTTCCCCTGATGACCAATGTTTCTTAAAGCAGACAGTTCCCATGCACCCCTTAAAAGCTGGTAATGTGCAAGCAGCTGATACAAAGAGACGCAAAGTGGTTCGCCATGTGGTTGAGATGTCATTTGTGCTTTGAGAATGAACAGTCGGCCCCTCTCGATGAGCAGACTCTCGCGATTTCCAAGGTCCACCTTGGGTTCTGCCCCTTTCCGAAGCACCAAAAAGAAGGAAAATCCGGTGACGGAGGCAACTGCTGCAGAAAGTCCAGCTGCCAGGTAGCGTATTCCGTTGGTGAATAGGAATTCCACTACCCAATAATCAATAGGATCCATGGTGCTGGTAAATTAATGCTAACATGACTGGGTTTTTTGTTGATGGGATCCATGGCACACCATATATAGCAGCACCTTGGATCCTACAGTTATGGCAATTCATTAGTTATAACTGGTTATTTCTATGGGATTATACATTCTATAGATGGGGTTTTCTTAGTACTTATAACTGGTATTTCGGGCCTTAACTGTATGGGCTATTGGTTTATTTTTTCATCCCCTGTTTTTTTCAGGTAGGATCATCCCCTAAAATCAACCAACCAGGGTTTACAGTAGCAGCCACTTCTCTTTTTGGTAATCACAACATATCATCTTTATGTACTTCGATGCTTTTTTTGGGGGGATATCATGAAGAGATATTTCTGGGTAAATTATAGTCTCGGAAAACACGAGGGCACCCTTTTGTTCTGTGATCAAAATGCCTGCAAGATTCAGTCGATAATGGACAGATACTACACTTGTTCATAGCCATGTGATCTGGCTTTCCTCACTCCCCCTTTTCTCGGGGAGAAAATCTACAGGCCCAAGGCATTTGATTTTTGGTGCCTCTCTGCACTGGCTTTTTGCCAGTTGATTTGTAGCGCCAGTACTCCGCTCTCATCTTATCGGAGCCCCAACGCCTACCTGCAAACTCCCTTTGGAAGTCGTTCCAAGAATTGGATTGTGAAACATTGCTGCCCCTCTCAGCCGCAGCGTGCTCACCAGCGCTGCCCGAACTTGATGTCATACGCTGAGATGAAAAGTCGCCCACCACAGCAGCGCCATGCCTGCCCGACTGTGATGTCATTCGCTGAGATGAAGGATCATCCACCACAGCAGCGCCATGCCTGCCCGACTGTGATGTCATTCGCTGAGATGAAGGATCATCCACCGCAGCAGCACCAAGCCTGCCCGACTGTGATGTTATATTCAGCGACGTTGATGCATCACCACTTGCGCTGCCAGAGCCCGACCGTGATGTCATATTCAAACCTGTAGATGGTCTTGCAGCACCAGTGCTAGAGCCCGAGCTTGTTGGCATACGTTGTGATGATGAAGACGCAGGCGCTGCGATATTTCCAGAGCCCGACTGTGATGACAAACCTTTCGATGAAGCACCCTTTGCTCCACCACAATGGTCCACATCTGGGCCCCGATTGAATGCCGAGGATGCTTCATACAGATTTCGTGTCGTTCTGCAAGCTGTCCTCCATGCTCGTGCCAACACTGCTTCTTCATCTTCTGAATCATGTTCTTCTTTTCTACCCTTACCTTTCTTTTTTCTGCGGCGAGGAAGTCGATCACTGGTATGAAGCCAAACAGGCCTCTGATCTCGTTCATCATCATCATTTTGCCAGTGTTCAACGCTTCGCCCATGCATTTTGTTGTATGGATCGTCTCTGACTGCAAGACTTTGTGCCATCATCGCATGGATCTCTTCCATCTCAGCTCGAGGCACATAGTTTGCCCTCTCCTGGTTGATCTTGATGCGTTGGTGGTTTTCTTCTTCGCTGCTACTGCTGTGCCGTAACATTCTGACATGAGGTGGTTCTCCATGTCCTTTGACTCGGTTGACATCACAGCTGCCCGATGTCCCCAACAGTCTCTTGTAGAGCCAAATGCTACTTCGAACTGCTTTGTTCGTCACATAGACTGCTCCCACGCACATCAGGATTATGCCAGTTGTCCAAAGCCAGGACAAGTCATCACCTTCTTGTTCTTCTCCTTCAGCCGCCGCAGCGCCTGACAGCAGTGTCGCCCCCACCAGCATCGCCACTCTGGCGTGATCTTTGTCTTCACCCAGACCTCCGCTTCCTTTGGCTGTTTGAACTTCAGCCAAAACACCAAGATCTTGTAGGGCTCTTTCAAACGCAGAACCAATGACGACCTTTGTGAAAGAGTCAGCGACCAGCTCCCGACCCACAAGGTGACACAAATGCCATTCATCTTGATGTAGAGCTGCCCTTAGAATCGCCGCTCTGATTCTAAGATGACGTGTTCGCCAACTGCCTTGCCCATCACCAGTCGCCAGTGAGATTGCTGCTGCATTGTCGCCCCACAACCGCCTCACCAACTTCTTTTCATCCTCATCTCGAACTGCCGCCACCAATGCAGACGTAGCACGTCCCCCAACCAGAGCTTCACACAAGCTAATGAGCTCACTCTCAGCAGTAGATTGTGTTGGAAAAGGCTGCCGATTTGTGTTCCACATGATTGGAGCCCCAGCATAGTAGTAAACCTGGCCTTGGAGTGACTTAAAGCCCTTGGTCGACGCATAGGAGATGTCGGAGAAAGCTTCAACCGTGCGCTCGCATCTTGGCAAGCTCAATTGATTTCCTGCCCCATGGGAAGGACCTGGATGATCTTGATACACCATACCCAACGTAGGACGCTTCAAATAGCTCATGATCTTGAGACCGATGGAAATGGCCAGTGAAGGAGCCTTCATGCACAACCTTGACATCGCAGCCACTCCAACTGACAGTTCCGGACGCGTTCTTGTTGAGAGCCATAGCAACGCCTCCGTGCACGCTTGCGCGCGCTTGACCAACTCCAAATCTTCACTTCTCTGAAAACCAGCTTCTTCCTCTGGTGTTGGGAGTTTGAAATCAAGTTGATGGCTCATCTCCTTGATCTCCCACTTTTTGATCAGCTCCTCCTCATACTTGTGTTGATGCAATCTAAAGCCTCCTCCCTTCTCCGTCTCATTCTCTTGGATCTCAAAGCCACAAAACGACACTGCTTGCTGAGTGGTTGCAACATCCGGCTCGGCACATTCCCAAACTGCAGAGATCGCCTGTAGAGCATGTGAGGCAACAGCTGGCTCAGCTGCAAGCAAAACGTCATCAACGTAGATGGCCATGATCCCTTTGTTGTGAACCTCCCCCGTGCTCAAACACCTTTCACGCAAATGCCAAAGATGTTGATCGCTAGATCGGTGAAAACTACCAGCCCATTTTTTGTCACCCTCCTCACGCAGCCACTTCATTGTAGGGACAACTCGATCACGATGATCAGCCCAGTCCCTAGGACTTGAAACAAGTCCGTACATCGCAGCATCCACCAACCAAGTGTCGTTTGGCGATGCCAGATTGAGCTTCACGTAGATGTGAGGAATAGACATGGCGATCACCTTACTTCGATCTTTTCTTTCTGCATTCAAGAAAGCGCATTTGATGTCGGTGGTATGCACCGTCCACTTTTTCAATGACGCATGACAGATCAGGCAACGAATCTGAGAAGCATCACATCCACCTGCATATGTTGATGTTGCAACTTCCTCCTCATAGTTCCCACATATGCATGCTCTTACTTTCCTCTTACCACCAGTCTTTCTTGTGAACACCACCTTGCTCGGCAGTTCTTCATACTTCACGCCTTGCTCTTTTGCTAGCTTCTGTGCCTCTTCTCTGGATACCTGCCGTACAGCTTTCTTCTCATTCACTATGGACTGATATTCACTCATCATGGCTTGTTTCCAATCATCCCACTCCCTATGCACCTGTTCTGCCGAAATAGTTTTTGTGACCAAGAAGTTTTCCTCCTCCTCCTCTGCCTTTCGCTTTGCAAGATCCAGCGCGCAAAGTTGGAGCTCGATGTCGAA